ATGTGGGGTACAGGAAGGAGATGGGAAGTGATGTGGGGTACAGGAAGGAGAAGGGAAGTGATGTGGGGGACAGGAAGGAGCTAGGAGGTGATGTGGGGGACAGGAAGGAGATAGGAGGTGATGTGGGGGACAGGAAGGAGATAGGAGGTGATGTGGGGTACAGGAAGGAGATGGGAAGTGATGTGGAGGACAGGAAAGAGGTGAGAAGTGATGTGGGGAACAGGAAGGGCAGAATGCATTCTGAAGTAGCGTGGGCAGGCTTCTCAAGAGCCCTGCACAGGGTCCTGGCAAGTACCACAGGCCCTTGATTTGGTTTTCTTTTTTCTTGAGACAGGCTGTGGATGCTGTCTGTGCTTGTTGGCTTGGAACTCAGTGTGTAAAGCAGGATGACATTGAACTTGAAGTGATGCTCCTGTCCCGGCTAGTGCTGGTATTACAGCTGTGCTCCTTCCCACTCAACAGTCTTTGGTGATGTCACTTAAGGGTGGGAGGGGACTCTGTCTTGTTCTAACAGATATGTAGTAGCTGCTCAATAAATACTTATGAGGAAAATGAGTTAATAATTAAACATATGTAATTGTTTCGAACATATATAAATGTAAAGTCAAACATTTGATCATTGAGACAGGTTTTACCTTTCTTTTGCTAGGATTGGAAGTAGTGTAGAAGAAACAGTTTTCTTTGGGACAAAAAAAAAGTTGTTTCTGTGATACATAGATGTGTGAAACGTTTGTGTTAACAAAATCAATAGGGATCCTGGGAAAGTGTTGCAGAAAGGGAAAGCACTCCTAGCATGGTCTCTGATAGAGCATCCTCACATCATCTTGCATTGCCTTTGCAGTGGGGACCTTAGGGGCCAGGCAGATGAGGAAGAAGTAGTCGGTGTAGTGGAAGGTGCTGAGTGAGGACAGGGAGGGTGTGACCAAAGGGAAGAGAGGGATGCAGAGACACTGGAGAGAAAAGTGAATGTGGCAGACAGACGAATTCAAGCTCCAAGAGGAGAGAAAAGAGGTGAGGGGCCAGGGGCATTTGCATAAAGCATGGACCTTGAGTAAGAACAAGCTCACAACATCCATTCATCTGCCGTGACAGGAGTATGTCACTGAAGGCCAGAAGGAAGGGGAGGCTGGGATTCACCAGACACTGCACATTCTTTTCAGATTTTTGTAAACCTGAAACTGCTGTGAAAAATAAAGTCTACTGGAATGGATGACTGACTGACTGACTGACTGACTGAATGAATGAATGAATGAATGAATGAAGATAGGCTTACTTCACAAGGAAGGAACATATAAAACTCTAGGAAACTAAGCTACTCTACTGGGCTTTGACACATGCCTTTGTGGCTGTTTGAATCCTCTGTTAGGACACACCCACATGAGTAAGGCTCATGGTGGGATAGGAAGAGAAGAGGGTACAGTCGAAGCTCACCGGAAAGGCTAAAACCTCTAACAAGTATATTTTTATCATGCACCTTACACGGTAGTGTTAGATATATTTCCCATCTCCAGTTAGTTTGAAATCACTTCTGCCCCCCATCACAAAGGGCATTTTCAGAGTTCTTCAATGCCCTGCCTCTTTCCTAAAGAGGACAGGACAGTTAAATCGCTGTTAGAGGGAAGGTACCCGTTCTCCTCTGCAGCTCAATGCACCCACCTACTGTCTAGAGCTGGCCTCCTGGGTATGTGAGCTGTGCAGGGCCTGTGTTAAAAATGTCTCACTCTATGGTGTGAGAGGCAGCTTAGTTTGTAGAGTGCTTGCCTAGTGTACACAGAAGCCTTGGGTTTGATTGGTCCTTAGCACACACACTGGGTACATACATGAACTACAGACAATGATAGGATATGTGAGATACTGTCTCAAAAAAAAAGTCTCACTCTTGATTTTATTCTTAGTGGAAGGTAGCCATCTTCAGATTCCCAAACATCCTTGCCCAAAGGGCCTGGCATTTTGATCTTGCATAAGAATCTTAGCAGGTCCCAGCCTCATCTCTTTGTCCTGTGGCACACTATCACAGTAACAGTTCACTTCTCCCCAGTGTCTATCCAGGAGTTCCTACCACAGACTGATCCCGCAGGGACCAAATAATGAGGTGTCCCACTTGGACTGGGTCCGTCAGAGAGCTAGCAGTGCGGAGGGTCTGAGGCCAGCTGGACAACGACGGCATTTTCAGAAGTTACAGTGAGAATCTGACTGACTATCACTATCCTACAAGCCAAGTTCTCCTATTAAAGGTGAACAAACAAACAAACCCCCCTAGAGATGCATTTTTATATCAGTCGGGAGCTCATTCTATTTTAAACTCTGACCCAATTAGAAGAAACATCTTCCCATGTACCAAACAATCTGCTTGGACACCACGTGGCTGATAGTTTGTGGTGGCTGGCTCAGAACTTCAGAACCACAAACACATCTCTTCCCTCCCTGTTTCTCATCAGGCCTGATTTTTGTCTCTTTCTTTCTCTTAGAATACCAGTTACTTGTGCAGTGTGGAGGATTCAAACCTTGGGAGTGAATGGCTGCCCTGGCCTGGGAAAGCAGGAACTTCCTCCTAGTTCCTGTTAAATCTGCAGGGCCCATCATGGCGGGCCGGTACCCTGCCCCATGCCAGCCCCACTGTTCTGTGTCAGGGTCCCCGTTCACTTGTTTGGTCACCCTTCTGCCTACGTGCCTGGCAGATCATTCAGATTTCATTCAGTAATTTGGAAGCCAAGCCCCAGGCGTTCTAAACTCTGTTTCCTTTCCCAATCCCCTACCTGGCAGGGGAGCTGTACAAGCGTTACACTTAATGCGCGGCTGCACAGCTTCAAGAGTGCCACAGTTGTGCAAGGTTCAAGCCTCACGGCAGCACATGACACCATGCCTTCCCGCCATGCCCTTCACCAGAGAGCAAACAGCAGTGAGCAGTGTGAAGATGGCAGACAGTATCTGACGCCCCTGCTCATCCAATGAGCCACAAGAAACCTACGGTGCAGATCTGTCAGCCTCCGACCATGATGTTCTTTCATGCTGTCGTGAGTGTGTTATCAGTGAGTCCTCAGAGTGCTGGGTTCATTTTATTGGATTCACTTATTTAAAAACAATAAAGTTGACCATTATGGTTAACCTTCATTGTCAACTTGCCAACATTTGGAACCACCTATGATGTAAAAGATGTGTTTGTGGTAAGCAGCTCACCTTTGCCTGCCCCAGAGTATCTGAAACCTCTGACCTTCGTGGGCAACTGTGCTCATGTATACATATCCACACTCATACATATAACTAAAAATAATAAAATAGATCTTAATTAAATGGAAAAAAGTAATGTGTTTGGGCATCCGACTGACCAAGATTGGACTTGTGACAGTTTGTCAGTTTGAGGAGATTCAGAATCACCCAGGAGACAACCTCTGGTGTCTTTGGGTTTTTGGACAGGTTTAACCAAGGAGGGAAGGTCCATCCTGGTATGGGTGGCACCATCCCGTGGGCTGGAGTCCCAGACTGAGTAAAGAGAATGGAGCCAAGCACAGACATACACAAAACTACTGTGAAAAGCCATTTACACTTAAGAGTTTCTCTAAAACAGAGAGGAATTAGCTCTTGCCCCCCAAGGGCTGATACATTCAGCAACCACGGCACTCTTCTAGAGAGTAGCTTTATAATGTGTGTCGGGCACGGTCGGTGCCAAACTCAGTCATCCTCCAGGAAGAATGGAGCACTGATCCCCAGGCCATCGGCGCCTTCCAGTTCCGTTTCATTGCCTTCAGTAACAGATGGGTCACGTGCTTTTCCTTGGCTCCTTTTATTCTTATGAGTACAAAATGGATTATTTTTCTCTTTGATCTCAGAATGTGAGTTGGAAATGGTTTTTCTTTCCATAGCATGTTGTAGGCAGTTATAAAACCTGTAAATAATTAAACATATGGTTACATATACGAGCATTCATTCTAAGTGAATGACTGAAACACACCTAGAACTGATCTATTTCTAAAGCTTGACAATGCCATGTTTTATAAATCACAAAGTCAACTAAAACTTCCTTTGCCTTCATCACTGTAAAAATGTATTCTCACTCTTAAGACGATATTCTCAGACACCCACTTCTAGTCCAGTGCTGTGCTCCCATCTCTGCATGGAGCACGCCTCCTCCTCCCCTTCAGCTCCCTCCACCACAGGGGTCTCCTTATAAACCCTGCCCCAGGGCCTGGTCAGGGGTTCCCTTCACCATACTTCTAACTGCATACTAATTGCCCATCTTGGAAACCCAGTGACTCCAAGGCCCATTTGGGCATTCTCCATTCCTTGGGCAGAATTACAGTTCTTCAGAGCCTGTCAGAATGCCCAGATGAACTGCTACAAAAGCTAAGGATCTACCTGGACTCATTTCTCAACTGCAGAGCCCAGCAGACCTTCCAATTTCACTGTAATTGTAATCTATGTAAGTGCTTTTTGAAAGAACACTAAGCACATTTCATCCTCATCCAGTCTACTTCCTTTATGACAATGGACAGGACACTGTTAATTTCTAGTGTCCTGTGGTGGTATTGTGTTCCCCAAAATATTGTGTACCCTAAAAAACTTATCTGGGGTCAGAGAACAGGACAGCCACAATATTAAACATAGAAGTTAGGCAGTGGTAGCACACGCCTTTAATTCTAGCATTCCAGAGGCAGAAATCCATCTGTTCAAGGATACAGTCAAGCATGATGATTCACGACTTTAATCGCAGAAAGCGAGCCTTTAATCCCAGGGAGTGATGGCGGAAAGTAGGAAGATATATAAGGCATGAAGACCAGAAACTAGAAGCATTTGGCTGGTTAAGCATTTGGCTGGTTAAGCTTTCAAGCAACAGTTCAGCTGAGATTCATTCTGGATGAGGACACAGAGGCTTCCAGTCTGAGGAAACAGGATCAGTTCAGGAACTGGCGAGGTGAGGTGGCTGTGGCTTGTTCTGCTTCTCTGATCTTCCAGCTTCAACCCAATACCTGGCTTCAGGTTTGATTTTATTAATAAGAACTTTTAAATTCCTGCTACAGTGTCCTGCTGACAAGAACCACACACTGTCTAACCTGGAGACTGAGGTCAACACTGGGATGGGTTAGCTGTGGAGTTCTCATCTGATGTGGAATTAGCTGGGAGCTGCAGCAGACAAAAAGGCAGCCAGAAAAAGGTTTCACCAACCCTTTCTTACTCAGTCACTAGCCAGTGGTGAAATCACTGGCCAGTTAAAGTAAATACTCACAAAGACCTAAATACAAGAACTCAAACAAACAAAAAAACAGGGAAATATCACCAGACTGAATTTGGCAGTGATGCTTCCTTGGGCTTAATACCAAAAACAGGCAACGAAAGAAAGTCAGACAAACAGATTCGTAAGAGTCTAAAACTTCTATGGAAAGGCACTGCTGACAGTGAACAGGAAGTCCACAGAATTCGGAAGCATCTGCCAATCACACATCCGCTGACTACCCAGCATACAGAGGAAACCCTGCATCTCAGGGCAGAACCACAATCCAGGACTGGAACAGACACATGTAAATACGACAGATATGCAGTCAATAGAGAGCATGTGCTCACCACCACCAACACCAGAGAACACAAGTGAGAGTCCCCAGAGGTGCCTCCTCACACTGCCCTGCTGCTGTTGGCGACGATGCAAGTTGGGGCAGCTGTTGTGGGTGGCGGGGTGTGGCTCTTCAGGAAGTCACATACAGATTTACCAAGCTACTCTAGTTCTGAGTATATACCCAAGAGAACTGGAAGTGGCGAGATGAGTGTGTGTTTGGTAAACGATCGTCTGTCAACAGATGAACACGGTATTGTAGCTTCTTTTAATGTTTTATTATTCAATAAAGCTTGAGAGTCAAATATTAGGGAGTAAACCTGATTGATCCACGGAGGGATGGAGCAAAGATCACTTCACCCTCTTCTCCACCTTTCCTATCAAAAAAGGAATCTTTTTAGCATATTTTTAGTCCCTCCTTATTCTCCGCAGCCTTCGATCTCCTCTGAGTTGGCCAGAAAACTCTATGGTTCACTCCATGGGCGGTCTCCAGAGTGAAAACACAAACAAATCTCTGCAACAGCAGGAAACAAAACATGGTCCACAGATACAATGGAGTGTCATCAGTTTGGAAAAGAAAAGTGGCTGATACATGCTACAGTATAGTAGAGCCCTTAAGGTTTAGCTAGTCGGGGAGATGTAGCTCAGTGGTAAGCCTCTTGTAAAGCATGCACAAGGCCCTAGGTTCAATACTCAGTACTGCAACAAACAAAACCACTACCACAGTCCAGGAGTGCACTAAGACAGTAGACACAAAAGGACAGACTGCATAACCAAGCGGCCGGAGGGGCCAAGCTCCCACACAGAAAACTGTCAGAGGAGCTGCAGGATAGAGTGAGGCCGGTGCTCCGCGGGTACAGTTTCTGTTCAGGATGATGACAGTTCTGGAGGTGGATGGTAGTGATGGTTATACTAATGATGTGGATGTGGATGCCATTGGTAAAAATGGTAAATTCCTGTTACACATATTTTACCACAGTAAAAAAGATTAAAAAAAAAATCCATCAGTGGAAACAGATTCAATTACTTTGTCTTTCTGATTTCTTTATTCTTAACAATATTATATGCCAATATATTCAGCCCTTTATTCTGTTTTATTTAATATTTTATTACACAGTTGATGAAAAGAAGAACATGGTTCATTTCTTTCTACTCAGTGCCACATGGCTCGATCGGATCCAGGTCCTGACCTGGTATTAACAGACAAAGAAACCCCTCCGGAGGCAGATCTACAAACTTCCAGTTTTCCACCTGGAAATTGTTATGTATGAAATATCTTTTGGTGTCTGTCAGTCCCTGTCTCTTCCAGTCTCCAAAGTGGCTCTTTATGAAGCAGGCCATGGTCCCCGGACTTCCCTGCCTGGCTCCAGATGCTGCAGGCTCTCAGCTGCTCTGCTGGCCGAGTCCCTTCCCACAGAGAAGCAGGCATGGGAACTATTTTTCACAAACATGACCTTTTCTCTATTGAAAACACTTTCGGGTTTGAGGAGATGGCTCAGTGGGTAGTGGTGCTGGCTGCACAAGCATCAGGTTCTGAGTTCAGATCCCAGCACCCAACCAGAGGCCTGCAGCGATAACCCTGTGAGAAGCAGAGGCTGGAGGGCAGCTGGGACTTTCTGCCCCCATCCTAGCACCAGGGTTAGTGAGGGACCTGTCCCAAGGCAGAGAGTGAAAGAACAGGACACAAGACTTCACATACATATGTATGCTTGCACACATGTGCAGATACCACACACCCACACCCACATATCACACATACATAGGCACATTTGTATGCACACCATATACATACACATGTGACCAGACACACATACACCACACTCACACATGTATGCACACTGACACACTGTATGCCATGCACACACTATTTTTAAGTACTTTAGCTCTTAACTTTGCCGTGTTTCTAAAACTACTCATTGTTATTTGTTGGACTGAGAGCTCCAATCCTTTTAGCTATCTGAACCGTGAAGAAACATCCCCACCCCCCCCACCCCCCCATGCTCATCCACTGGTGTTGACGGCCTTTCTCGTCTAATACCAGGCATGCTGTGCCTGCATCTGGCTGATGTGCAGACAGCTCCCGGAGGCGCACCCTAATTTGCTCACACATTCTGAATCCACACGTAATCTTGTAATCAGGATCTTAAGACACTTTTTACCCTTCTTTAATTTTTCCCTGATTTTATATGATGAGCCTGGCTCTCTTGATAGCAGCATGTAGACTATCATCTCAAAATACATTTCAGAGTCAATAGATTTAACTCATAATTTGATTTTATGGTTGGTGAGCGTGGCTCAATTAACTTCACCAGGTGTATAGTTAGTTGATCTGGGGCTATATTTATAATCTTGTTGAAATTCAGGGCAGAATATAGAGAACTGAGCAGTTGCTTCCTGTGTCTCCACAGAGGGCCCCAATGGAGCACCCCAGTGGAGCACCGCAGTGGAGCACCACCTGTAGACATGGCACTCTGGCGGCAGGAAGCATGCGTGTGCAGTTCATGTCTGCAGCGAGGCGTGTGTCAGGTGACTACCTGACAACCTCACTTTGGTTAGAAGGTCCACACTCTGTGGCCAGGATTTATGCACAATTTTTCTAAACCAGGATCTACCTGCTACAGTGTTTTGAGACAGCCACTGTACATGGGAAATCGGCTTCTTTCCCCTGCATCTAATCTGGTACAGGTCACATGACTCCCGAGGGAAAGCTTTGTTAATTCTAGAACTGTATGCTTCTGGAAGGAACTGCTGTGTTATGAGTGAATGAAGAGGAAGGACTCTCCTGTTCTGAGAGCCCATGGCAGGCGCCCAGGCCCACCACAAAGAACAAGCTGTTTGATGATATCAGTAACTGTTCTTTGAGCTAGCATTTCTTCAGGTCAAAAACAAGACAGTGACTTGGCAGACGTGGGCCGAGGAACTGGTGGGACAGGGCTGAACTCGGGCTGCTAGGGCCTAGTTCCCACTGCTCTCAGCGGTACCTTTGCTCTTAGCTGCAGCTGGAAATCTCCAGGTAGTTACGGGTTCAGGCAGCCAAGTCAAGCCATGGGCTTCTTTTGCAGTGTATGGACATGACCTGACCAATACAGAGATGAGAGACAGACATCCTATCTACATCCTGCTCTGAGACCAGCCTTGGGGGCTGCTGCATAGGTCTTGAATAAAGAAAGAGGCAATGAAAATGGAAAGAAAAAATGATGGAAGGGATATTTAGGCAGTGACGGGATGTGAGACTGCCAAAAGGGTGGGAAGAAAGAAAAAGGGAAATTACAAATGGTGTCAACATGTTTATCACTCGGTAACTTGGAAATGTACAGCTCGGGCTGGTGAGCCACAGAGAGCTGGCTAGTGGGTAAAAGCGCCTGCACACAAGCCTGATGGCCTGAGCTTAGTCTCTGAAACCCATGTAACCCACAACGTTGTCATCTGACCTCCACAACAGTGTGCTTTGGCACACACACACACACACACACACACACACACACACACACACACACACGCCAAACAAAAAAACCCCAAAAACCAAAAACCAAAACCAACAGATAAACAGCTTCTCCAGAGGACTTGAGTGGCACTACTCGCACACATGGAAGGCAGTGTTTACAGAAAGACTGTTTAAAGGGAGCTGTGTGCTAGTCCATGTGCCAGGCAGTACAACTGAGGAAGAAGAATAGAAAGATGTGAATTGAAACCTAGTCTTCTTTCCAGTGGGCCGACGGTGCAATTCCGTATCTGCCCCACGGCAAGAGGTGGCTGTTGAACTAGCCCGGGGTCTAAGACACTATCGGACTGAAAAGGGGAGTCTAAGCAACATGCAGGGCAGTGCGCACAACTTCCCTTCACCCTCTGCTCCCACAGCTGTCGGGCTCTTTCCCAAATGATTACTCTGTCTTTCTCAGTGGTCCTGCTGGCCACATGTCTAGCGGTCTCTGCAAAGCCTCCCTCTGCAATCTCTGAGTGTCCGTCACAGGGTGCTCCACACAGTGTGCTCTAGTCCCACTGATGACCTCAATCATCTTTCTTTTCTCCACAGGAGGTTTACAATTACACAAGCAGTTTGGATTTTAAACTTAAGGAGCATGTGTCCCTATTTTTAAGAATGACATAGGCATGTATGAAAAACATGGAAATAGATAGTTAATTTTACCTTCCAATTCTTTTCTTGTTTTCCTCCATTTTCTGATTTGCTATAGTCACCAGGAACTCAATGTATTCCTCTGTCACCATCAGTTTTCCCTGACGGCTTAGTGGAACTTCTAATCCATGTGTGCTCCGCACAGCCTAGAAGAGAGGCCGGTTAGAAACGGAGAAAAGAGCCCAATGAGAGGGTCCTAGACAGGGCTCAGTGGGAACAGGTAACTTCCATCAGAGCATGCAGGCCCTTGACTTGAGGTAATGAAACTCAAACAAATCAAACAGATTTCTCATCAGGTACAGCTGTTTTTCAAGAAGGGCATCTCTACACTCTTTTTCAGAGAATCAGATAATATTAAAGAATTCAGTAACTTTGAATAGTTGCAATCCCACAATAGCTAAGAAAGCTTTAGTAAATGATTTTAAAAAAGGAAACAAATGAAACCTCCATAGAGGACTCAAGGAAAAATCAGAGTCTCTTTCAGCATCTGCTGGAGCTGAGTATGGCAATGGGGAAGCCATGCTTCCTCCATCATGCAGCGTGGCTGCCAATCTCAGTGACTCTGTCGAGGAAGCAGTCAGCATATCCCCTGTGCATCCAAAAGCTGGGTAGAGGATAAGGACAGCAGAAAAAAAAAAATCCTACAAACCCCACCAGTATCGAAGAATAAAAATTCATCTTTACTGAGTTTCTCTTAGCTCAGGCAACCCAACAAAGGAGCACATCCTGGTTCTTGCCTCTAAGAGCTCAAACGTAGAACCACACAGAACTGCAGTGCAACCCGGGGCTAGGACAGAAAAAGCACACAGATCCACACAGCACAAACACACGTGAAGGATACTCCTAACATGGCAATTGTCTGGTGAAGCCTGGGACGCAGCTCCACACAAACGCCAGCACTGGAGCTGGCATTTCCAGGAACAGAGACAATTTCATCAGACATAAAAATAGGGAGTGGATGTTTTAGCCAGAGCAGCAACAGTTCTCTGTGGCTGAAACACTGGTCAGGGATGGAAGGGCTGGAGAGAGCTCCCAGAAGCCAGCCCATCAGGAGACAATCTTAGGAACAAGATGGATACCGAGCTCGGACTCGGGGGCAGGGTGCAGGGCCTGGCTGGCAAAGGCACAGGGGCAGATATGATCAGAACAGCGACTAACTGGATACAGAGGACAAAGGGGAGAAAGTAAGGACGTTTGTGCTCCCCCTTGGGCACAAGATGTGTTGTGGAGTGAGGGCTTGGATGATTGTTTAGATGCTTCCGAAGTTCTTTGTAAGCCACCTCTATTTGGGAAACAAGGTTTTTGTTAAAAGTGAGAGTTGAGAGCTAGAATAGCAGGAATTTGACAAAATCAAATACAGTATGTGCTGTGCAAACAGTGAACGCAACAGGAGGGCAGAACTGGGCAAGATTACTATGGGTTTGCTTGGCCAGGAAAGCACAAAGGGAATGCAGGATTTGAAGACCAGGAGGACCACCAAGACTGAGGGCCGGCAAACTTTCTGTGAAGGGACAGATAATAAATATCCTTGATTTTGCAGATCACGCAGTATCTGTTACTGCTCAATTCTGATGGAGTGGTACAGAATAAGCTGTACCCAATCATGAATCAGAGGGTAGAGTGCAGTTGGCTCCCCAGGGGCTGCACTTGACCAAGAAGAGCAGTCTGCTGTGTGGTGATATTTCATCTGTGTACCCCAATAAAGCTTATCTGAGGATCAGAGGAATAGGTCAAGTCACAGCCAACTTCACCTTACCAGCCCTCGCCTCCAGAGAGACCTACTTCCTGTATACCCACACCTATATGCCTTTTTGTTCTGCCATCTCACTTCCTCTCTCCACCCAGCTACATCACTTCCTGTCTGTCTGTACAAACCTCCAGACCTCCATGGTTAGTGCTGAGATTAAAGGCATGCGCCACCATGCCTGGCTCTGTTCCTAGTGTGGCTTTGAACTCACAGAGATGCAGATGAATATGGTGATATTTTATTTTGTACAAAATGTTATTTGTATGTTAATAAATAAAGTTGCCCAGGGGTCAGAGCTATTAGCAAGCCATAGGAAAGCCGGGCGTTGGTGGCGCACGCTTATAGTCCCAGCACTTGGTAGGCAGAGCTAGGTAGATCTCTGTGTGTTCAAGGATACAGCCAGCATTGGAGACATATGCCTTTAATCTCAATAACAACCATAGAAGACCTGGAGGTCTATACAGACAGGCAGTGACAAGGCGGTCATGTGGTTGGGTTTACAACAAATGAGAAGGCAGAACAGAAAGTCTATATAAAGACTTTAACACAGGAAGTAGCTCTCTTTCAGAGAGGTAGGACCACCACAGGAGGAAGGGTAAGGTTTTAGCTCTTAGCTCTGACCTCTTGGCTTTCTTCTTTGCATTGGTTCTGTGTTTCTTATTTAATAAGACGGTTGGTTACATCTACAGATGAATCTCTGCTCCCCGAATGCTAGGATTAAAGGCGTGTGCTACCATTGCCTGACTTCTATGTTCAATACAGTGGCTGGCTTTTTCCTCTGATCTTCAGATAAACTTTATTAGGGTGCACAATATATTGAATGGGGACACAATATATCACCACCCTGCTGGACCTCTGAGCAGACAGCAGACCCCAAGGCGTTAAGGAACTCACACAGGTTATAAAGCACAGCTGTGATCAGGTCACCAACATGGAGGACTCGATGTCTATGAGGCGCTCTACATGGTACAAGCATACTTATTCCATTATCCCTTGATGACTCAGGATGAGGCTGGGAGAGCAGAGAATCAGGTTCAAAGTAAGCAGAGAAGGGAGATCTAAAACAGGGACTCAAATATAAACCGAACTCTGGACGTTCCACAGAGGGAAGAGCCTGCCACTTAAGGTCTGGGGCCAGAAGACAGCACGGCATTTTGAGGAGGGAGGGAAAGAGCAGGAGTGACAGCAGGCAGCTCCAGTGACCTTTATTATGTCAGAACTGTTCTTGACGACGCGCCTTACCAGCATGGTCTTTCCCCGCTTTCCCACTGTGATGCCAGAGTTCCTGAAGCCAGAATCAATGGCCACTGAGTGCTGCAAGGAAGCACAACACCCTAAGTTATGCCAGCTAGCCAGACCCTCAATTCTGTCTCAGAAGTGGCAGAAACAGATACCTGCAAAACCATTAATGCGTTCGGCTGTATGGACTGTGCTTTACAGCCCCATCACATGCCTGTTACACAGACCTGAAGAGCAGCTCTGGAAATGTCACCAAGAGAGGATAAAACAGGGACCTGGCCAATGACCACGAACTAAAGCACATGACCAAACCATATTAGACAAAAGCAAACTTCAAATGAATGAGGTGCTTTCTCTAAGAAAGAGCAACGTTCCCTCAGCATCCTTTCCAGTCCTAAAGAAAACCATGAGATGTTATGGGACAAGCAGTGATGGGCCTGAACAGGCTGAACCTATGGCCATGTCCAGATGTCTGAGTGGCCTCTACAGGACACAGGCCTTCCTTCAGCTCAGCAGTTCTTGACTTGGCATGGGTTTGTCCCTCAGGAGCATTCTGCAACATGAGGAGATATTGGGGGTTGCCAATCTGCCACAATTACAGGGCGGTGGTGGTGGTGGTGGGGACATTGATATACAAGGAGTAGTATAGCCAGGGCTGCTACCACAACATTCTATGGTGCAAAGAATAGACTCTATACAAAGCATGATCTGGCTTCAAATATCAGAAGTGCAAGCATTGAGAATTTACTCTGAGTGGCTCTCCTTTTGAGATGTCACCAGTTCCCCGGGTAAGGCACCGTATGCATTGTGCTGAGGAGTCTCATTTCCAGTTCAGATCACTCATCCACAGTGGACTCTATGTTTAAAAAACCCATTTCTCTTTCACCTAGTTTTTGACATAGGGCACTGTGCTGGTTGAAAGAAAATTGCCTCCATAAGGGAGTGGCATTATTAGGAGATGTGGCTTTGTTAGAGTAGGTGTGAACTTGTTGGGGAAAGCATGTCACTGTGGGAGTGGGCTTTGAGGTCTCCTATGCTCAAGGTACTATACCCAGTGTCACAGTTCACTTGCTGTTGCCTGCAGATCAAGAAGCAGAACTCTCAGCTCCTTCTCCAGCACCATGTCCACCTGCATGCTACCATGTCCCACCATGATAATGGACTGAACCTCTGAACTGAAAGCCACCCCAATTAAAAGTTTTCTTTTGTAAGAGTTGCTGTGGTCATGGTGTCTCTTCACAGCAATTAAAACTCTAACTAAGACAGGCACCACCATCCATTAAATGTCTCAGGCTCCAAAGTGAGCTCACTTTAGCTTTTTACCCCTCTACCTCGCACACAGTTCCTGTTGCTTCTACCTTCACAGCACACCTTGGTTCACCCAGCTCCACCTCTGTGCAGGCTGTTCAAGTCCCCATGGCCCTCATGGACTTCTGTAGGAGTCTGTTTCCATCCATGCACTTTAGCCCTTCTTACAGACCAGCCACAAAGGAGTCCAAATGCTACACCATGAGGTGTAACATTCTACATGATTGAGTCCCTCCTTCTCCAGTCTCATCTGCTTCCTGTCTGTCCTCTGAATACTCCAAAGCCTTTCTTAATAGCGGCCTCTATTTCTGATGCTCCCTCTGCCTGGACTACTCTATGCTAGATTCTTATCATGTGTCTTATTCCCATTCCCTCTCCAGCTGCCCTCTTTAAATCACAGTGCCCAGACCATGCCCTAATCAGCACTCATCCCAACGAGAAACTGTTTCTTGGTCTTCTTTTTTTTTTGGTTTTTCGAGACAGGGTTTCTCTGTGTAGCTTTGCGCCTCTCCTGGAACTCACTTGGTAGCCCAGGCTGGCCTCGAACTCACAGAGATCCGCCTGGCTCTGCCTCCCGAGTGCTGGGATTAAAGGCGTGCGCCACCACCGCCCGGCTTCTTGGTCTTCTTATTGCATATCTCCCTCTGCAATAAACATAAACTTCTCTGGGGCGATAGCATGGGCCTTTTCTACTTTTCTCGAGCACCCAACAGACTGGGTGACATTAGGTGTGCTCAAAGGCAGGGGACAGCTGTGGCTCCACTGTATCAGCTCTGCATGTTAGACTCCCACCACAGCTCTGGCCCAGGAGAGTGCATCCAGGTGCCACTAGGATTAGAAATCAGAGCTGGACCTGGGTATGGAAACTGGAAAGGTAAAGCTTAAGCAGCACTGGTGGTATGTTCTGAAGTGAGAGGATGTTAAGACATATCCAAATCTAGAGGGAAAAATCTCAGGCTGCTGAGCACTAATGCTTTAAGGGCATCTTCTAGGGGCTTCAGTTTGTTTTCACTTTCTCCACAGTGATTGTCTCTGGGTACATAGCTTTAAAGGGCATGTACTGGCATCTCTCCAGTGTGTATCTCCAGTCTAGCCTACACCCTGGAGCAGCCTCCTACACCAACACCAACCTCAGTTGAACTGGCCTTCAAGGCATCCATGACGTGCTAACCCCAGCCACAGAATTTGCAGAAAGGGCTTTTATGTTGATAATGCTAGTGAGGTCTTCAGCATGGGAACCTAAGCCAACAGGGCTAATGTCCTTATAAGAGATGCTAGTGGTGTACATTCACAGAGGAAAGGCCATAAGAGGACACAGGAGAGAGGTGGCTGGCTGTAAGGCAGAGAGAGATGTCTTAGGAGAAACCAATCCTGACAGCCTCTGACCTTTGACCTCTAGCACAGAAAAAAATTAAGTGTCTTTTCTATCTGTTCTAAATCATTCACTCCGTGGTATTTTTTTTTTTTTTATGGCATCCCTGATAGACAGGCATTTGGCATTTAAGATGCATGCCTCAAACATGCTGTTAGTTTCCTGCACCATCCTCTTGAAGACACTACCGGGCACCCAGGTGCTCAGGCCAGACCTAAGACTTACTCCTCAGTCTCTCTCCTTCAGGCCGTCTGATCCCTGACATCATCACTCTGTTAACCCGAAAGCTAGCCTATGTCTGACTCTGTCACCCTCTCGTGTTCTTCGCTGTCACCTCGGGCCATGCCACCACACCCCACCGAGCCCTGACTGCATCAACCCTTTACAACTAGCCCCTGGCTGAGAGAGAACCTGACTCTTCACGTTGGCCTAAGGCCTGAGGTTCCTTAGAAAAGCCTCCACTTTTCTCTCCCATCCTCCCTCCCTTCTACGGCCTCTTCCTCTGCTCTGTGAACACACCGAGCCCTTTCTCGGAATTCCCTCCTGGAATTCTGTATTAGGAACATTTTAATCTGCTTGGAATCCTGGTTTCCCAGCTGTAGACCTAACTTTTTCTGTTCTTTTTCAGTCTTACCTCCAGGAACCTTCTTCAGAGGTGCTGTGAGAGAGGGGCCGGCACACAGCTCTCCTCAGCTGCTGTGACGCACAGGGACGGAGTGCTCTTACTAAATCACACTTGGAATGGACAACTCAGCATGCAAGCAAATAAAAGGTGCGAAGACACACAGGGGAAGTCAGACATGCAGTCCCAGAGTTTCCTCCTAAAACTCGGCAAGAAAACCAAAGACACAAACCTATGAAATTCACACGCAGGACGCTGAGGAAGACGTGGCCCTGCATGGGTATGTGTTTTATTTTCCAGAGATTTCCAGGAGTCCCTGCTCTAACACTCGATAAATAGCTGGACTGACCAACCAGATGGAAACAATTAGATCAAAACAACATCAAATAATTTTAAAAGGTAGCTTAAGCCTAAAATGAATGTTACCCACAGACGTCTAAATTCAAGAGGAGGCACAAAGTCTTACCAGGGTCTGTGCATCCTGCAGTGTCCGGCACTGCACATGGAGGATAAACGGTTCAAACTTCAAAACAGCATTGCTGGTCGCACCCTTCAGTGCTGCCATCTGCAGGGACCAAAGGGCAGCATCAGGCAGGACTGCTCCTCCGCGTCCCGTGAACCCCTTACTGCCTACCTTCTCTAGCTGTCCCAGAAATCCTCACACTCACGAAGTACACAGTGTCGGTAATATCTGTTTCCTCTGCTTTTTGACATTCTTTCATTAACATCATTATATGCTTGTTTTGTTAATTTTTTCTTTATATTTATTTATTTACTGGGTGGGACATCTGCATTATGACACCTATGAAGGTCCAGGACAGCCTTCCTCGGTTCTCTTCTTTTACCACGTGGGTCCTGGAGATCAGCCTGGGTCAGCAGACTTGGCAGCAGGTGTTTTAACCACTGAGCCACCTCATCAGGTCTATTTGCTTATTTTCCTCTTTTTTTTTTTTTTTTTTTTTTTTGGTTTTTCGAGACAGGGTTTCTCTGTGTAGCTTTGCGCCTTTTCCTGGAACTCACTTGGTAGCCCAGGCTGGCCTCGAACTCACAGAGATCCACCTGGCTCTGCCTCCCGAGTGCTGGGATTAAAGGCGTGCACCACCACCGCCCGGCTATTTGCTTATTTTCTTAAAAGACTTGATTTCTAGTTTTCCCATAAATCTGAGCCTTCTGGTAAACTACAGTTTCCTTTATTTTCTTGAAGGGGCATAGTGCACAAAGCCTGCCCTTGGAAGCTGGTGAAATGTTTTGGGTTAGACTGAGACAGGGACATATGCATTATGAAGGACTCAGGCAAGGCCGATGTCTCCCCACTGTGCACAAGAAGAACTTGGTGCTGGTATAAGATGGGCTCATAAGCGTGGGAACCATGCCACATACAGAGAACTTAGAGCATAGTCAGTACTCTGTTCCCTCTGTACTGTGTACAAGTCCATTTCCTTGAATCATACCTGTCTTGCCGATGCCATAGCATAAAGGTAAAGGTCTTTTTATTGAAGCACAAAGTGGATGTGTGGACCACAGTGGTCCTTAGCTACATAACAGCTCTAACAGCCAGGGTAAGCACACAGTTTTAACAGCTGATGCTCCACAGGGGATGGGCTGTACTGTCTTTCCCATGCCAGGGTCTGGATCTTACTCCTCATTCTTGCTCTACGTAAACATTATACCATGGAAGCCAAGTACATGCCGTTTGTTCTTAGCAACCCTGAGTTATGTACCAGTCTCTTTCCTGAGTGGCATGTGGCATGGACAATTTATACAGTGGCACACAGTAAGCACATAATACTACATCTGAGCTAAAATTTATACCAGACAGTTATTATTTCTGTCTGCCTGGCATCCATGGGCAGCACCCTCCCCCCTTCACACCACTGGTTCTCTGAGCTGTCAGTTACAACCTGTCATTCTCACTCTCCCTGTCAATCAGGAGCTTCAGTTGCCTGCGTCCGACCAGAGACTATATCACCCACTAGCAAAAGCTGTTCATTTACCATGAAGCACTGGATCCACACAGGACAACTCAGAGTCCTTCTTTGGGATTTGTCCATGAACGTTAGGAAAACATTTCTGCTGGGACTGCTGGCAGTTCCACTCGATGCTGCAAAGATCCTCTGCAGCAGAAGAGCAAGTGCAGGCAGGAGGAACACACAGCCTGCAGCTCCCAGACACAGAGGGAGGGTTCTCCACATTTAACACGAGAATACCTGGATCCGCCATGCCTCCTCAATCTCCACCTGTCCTTTCACGCTGTCTGCACAGGCGGGACGGGATTTCTAAAAGGACCAGAAGGGAAAGGCACCTGCCTGATGCGACCTTCCATGTGCTCACCTAACACTTCAGTCTCAGAGAATAGACAATGAAGGCCGTGACAGCGATCCATGATGTATAATAATTTCCAACACCAGAGCCAGCAGCACAGAGAGGACGAATCCCCTTCTTCTTCTATCATTTGTGCTACAGACTCTCGGTTGCTGGAGAGGATGCCCCGCTGAGCCGCAGGCACAGGGACACTTTCACACCATCACCTCCTACTGCCCAATGGGGCCAATGGAGTGAAAACTTCCTAGGCTTCATCACCTTCAGCCATTATACTTACACACGTGAATCTTCTATTCTTTCCATACATATTTAAGGTAACTGTGAATTTTTAAAGTTTGTTTTTTAAATATTAAAAACTTACCACATCGTCTTTCCCACAAGGTTTGTGGGTGACCAGCATCCAGCAGCAGTGCTGTTTCTGAACCCCAGAACCATCTGTGCTCTAAAAAAAAAAAAGACAACCTAATTATAATAGTCAACGAAACAAGTACACTGCGATGTATAATATGATGGGCATTCTTAAATTAATACTCATAAAGATTACTAAAATAATTCAATATATTGGGGGTAAAAATAACCTAAAAGAAAAATCAACTAAAATAACTTAGGGCTTAAATGGTAACAGTACTTGTGTGTTCAGAAGCACGGCCATGTTTTTTGTTTGCATCCATGTTTGTGTTATGATGCTAGGGATGGAGCCCAAGGCCTCATAAATGCTATGTGGGCACACTGACCATGGGGACAAATGCCATTGGTCATGTTTTTGTTGGAAGAAAAGGGTGATAAGGGGTTCTGTGCTAGCAGCCTCTGATCAGGAGACACCTGTACAATGCTCTGGCTAACACTACACAAGACTTACCATTTGCTGACATCTGTGATGGGCAGGCCTTCCAACACCTCCCTCATCACTACTGGCATAACTGTTGTGATTTCTATATTAGAATGTCTTGGCAAAGAAGCTAGGACCAAAGTGTCCAAGATCTGAAAGGGCTCCCATCACAACCTTGACTAAACATTGTTATTTGTAAGATCTAGTAGGAATATGCTGGTCCTTTCCCAAGACACTTGAAAGTGAAAGCAGGAGACCCTGGACAGGGAGATCACTGTGACTCTAAAATAATTATTTATACAAGGGCTCTGGAGGATACACTGCCATCTGGTCTCGGAAACACGTGTCTGAATAACTGGTTTTCATAAGAAGACTTTGGTAACATGTATTTGGCCTTGTGTTGGCTGCTATAAACCGCAGAGTCAAATGGGTAGTCCACATTGAACAAATTCACAGACTCTAATACCATGACTTGGCAACACCTCTGCCTCATCTATGTTTCTCTCATCCTGGTTTTTCACTCTCCTTCTTTCCTAATAAGTCGGAGTAAAATTAAATACCAGTAAAGCATAAGATACATTAGCTAAAAAGAGATCCAGATAGTCCTAAGACAGTTCAGGGTGAGCAGTCACTACTAGGTGGGTACTGTGCTTAAGTCGGTCTGTCTGCACCTCTTTGGGTGTTTGGTAGAAGAGGGAAGCTTGGGGACTCATGTCTCATATACTCACATCCTATATATGTGGATATAGGGAAAGCATTTACAGAAGCTGAGGCAGGAAGATCACGGGTTAAGGGCTTCCTTGGTCTCTGGAATGTGTTCCAGACCAGCCTGGACAACTTCAAAATAAAAGGCAGGAAGGAGCTGGGGACATGGCTCAGGTGCAGAGCTCTGCTGCCTAGCATGAGTGAGGCCCGAGTTCTCAGTGCTGACACTCCTGAATGAAGAACACGGGCAAGACAAGGTCACAAAGAGTCAAGGAGAAGAGTTCAATTTTGGCAATTAGTTAAAATGGGGATAGGGTTGCAGGACGTAGCACAATATAAATTTTGATTTTCTGAAATAAGAAATGTCACGACGTTTCAGCACAAATGGTTAGCCAAGAAAATCCTGCCTTAAAAGGTGACTATAAAAAAAGACAAATGTGTTAATGTGTAACATGGTTTAGAGGAGAGAAAACAGTGCCTCAGAAACTCATTAGGAAAGTCCTGAAAAAAACCCAGATGGGGCAGTGGAAGAAGAGGCGAGGACAGCTATCTTTTGAGCAAGAGTACCAATGCACAGAACCAGAACGGGATGGAAGCAATACAAACATGAACAGGTCTTGCTATTCCTGCAGTTTGGTAAATGATTAATTACGGCTGGATCTAAAAACTGTACCCATGCATGCTCTGGATACAATAACAGTAACACAATGAACACGAGGCAACTTTTAACGAACAACGTGGGCCAGGCATGATGATAAATGCTGGGAATAAATGATCCTATTTCCTCCACACAAAATTCTATGCAACAGATGTTGTCTAGTTATCTTCAGCTCGTAGGACAGGAAGAGATGAGAGAACGGATAACTGGTTAGAGTTCTAGGCCTGGGCCTTTGCATCTTCCACAGGTCCTGCTGCATTGAGAGCCTAAAGGCCAGGGCTGCAATAATGGCGTGGGCCACTAGGAGGCTGTGACCCCTTAACTCCAGCGATGCTCATCTAAGGAAGCACCGAGACGCGGTCAGAGCGGCTCAAGGGGGGATTCGGGCGTGAACTTCCATCCCTCTAGCATTCTATAAATCGAATTTTTCTAGCTGTCGCCGCTCAAGCTAGTTTCACCATCATCTGGGCGGCCCTGTTAGAATTGCAACGCCGATCGTAAAAGCCCGGGTAGTTAGCAAACAAGCCCGTGGAGGCGGGTAACGGAGGTCCCCTGGCCGCACAGGCACGGCGGGCCGGGCCTCACCCCGTCCAGGAGGAGGATGCGGCCTGCGCAGGAGCTGGTGGTGAAAAACTCTTCCCGCGCATTCAGCAGCTCCACAACCTCGGCCGCGTCCTCGTCCACACTGCCCTTCCGGCTGAGGTCCGCCTTGCTCAGACTCTGCGCCTTCCATCGGCGGAACTCTGCGCTGCGGTCCATGCGCGAGCGATAGGGACCTGGCTCCCGGCGTCGGAACCCGTCTCCCTTCCCCGTGGGCGCAGCCATATTGCCGCCACGGTGGCCGGAGAGGACCAAATTTCTCCATCTGTGCCATCGGCGGATTCCAGCCTCCGCCCCCGGAGGGTAGAGAACATGTGAGGAGGTGGAACCTTGCAAAAGTTGGAAAAGACCGGCCCGTCTCTATTGCCAGGGAACTTCTGGAGGTTAGGAGGTTTTGATTTCTGCTCTAAAGAAGGGTAAGTCGTTTTAAAACGTCGATCTCATCCAAATGATCCGCGCTTGGTTTTGGCTACTTTTCTTTCCTTCTCTGTGCCCTGGGACACCAGCTCACAAACCTGGCGATCGCCCAGGACTCTAAGCTCCTAGACCTGTCTGCTGGGAGGCTTTTTAAAAAAAAAAAAGAAAAGAAAAGAAAGGGGGGAGGGAGAACAAGGGAATCTGTGGCTGATATGTTGAACTGAATTGTACTGCAAAATAAAAATAAAAAAATTTTAAAAAATTAAGAAAAAGAAAGAAAGAAAGAAAAGAAGCCCACCAATACCACCACCACCACCACCACCAAAAACAAGTCCTAGGCTCCAGGAGGATCTGCACTTGAGATGTGCACAGCAGAAGGCTGGTGGTTGGGGGTGGGGGGGTGATTCCTGCCGACCCCTGGGTTCTCAACTCCCCAGCTCCAGGCAGAGGACTTTCTGTGCTCTGACCTCCAGTCTGCACGCAGCTGGAGTTGTTAACTTCTTTTAGACTCCGTGGCACTAACCTACCATAGTTCTCAAAAGAAAGACGAGAGACCGAGACACAGAGTGACAGAGAGGAAAAAACCTAATACTTTTGTTAACTACACCTTGCACGTTTACAGTTTCTAGAGGGCCTCAGCCCTATGAGCAGAAAAGACATGTTCATGATTGAAAGGTGCAAAGGTCAGGTGTGGACAGCTTGCCAGCTTGGGGCGGGTGGGGAGCCCCCAAAGCCACCATGACTCCCTGCTGGCTCCTGCTCTGGGGATGCAGCACACAGCAGTATGTCTTCCCACCCTCTCACACTGGAGCCTGGTGATATCTGTGAGAGCAAGACCATGACAGCATCACACAGCCTTGAGAACGGTACTGGCCACTTTAATTTTGATCATTTATTTGCATCTCCAAGTTAATAATAAGCCACATGCTCTGATGAGCCTTTCTAGAACAGTGGCAGTACATCTTATAACTGCTGGTCTCTTTCTTAGCCTTCACTTAAAAAGATCTTCAGAAATTCTTAATATTTTATTCTGTTCTTCTTTTTAAAATCTATGTTTTTTGTGTATATAGGCATGTCTGCACCATGTACATGCCTAGTGCCCTCAGAAGACAGAAGAGGGTGTAAGATCTCTCAGACTGGAGTTAGAGTTGGTTGTGAGTCTGAGCCACCATGTTGGTGCTGGAAATCCAAATGAAGTTCTCAGCAAGAGGACAAGTGCTCTATGCTGCTAACCCTAGTACTAACCTCATTTATTCATAAAATGGGATCTTTGTTTTTAGTTCTGCATAAGGTATCAGTTTTAGTAACTTTTCATTTTTGTGCAGATAATTAAGTGAGTGGAGATTAAAAAACACACACTTTTAGGAAGACCTGAGTATTATGAGGATGTAAGGATTTTCAGAGTTGCTATTAGTATAACATGCTGTTTTATTCTTTGTGATTCCCTTTGATAACAGTACCAGTGTTCCGAAGTGAATGATGACAGTGTGGTTGAGTTCAAAGGCAGTGAGTTCAGTAAGATCAAGAGAAACAGAAGGGTGGTGGCCACTCCTGCAGCATTAGGACCAAGTGGAAGGGGACTTGAGGAGGGCCTGTCTCCCAGGAGGCCCAGGACAGAGTGAGAAGTCTCTGCCTCCCTCCTTCTTCCCTCTTCCTCCCTCTTTTCTTCCCTCCCTCAAAATGTAAGAAAATGAGTGAATTAGCCACAAGATACAGACCCTGGTTTAGAACAATTTTGATTTTATTATTACAACCCAAGCTTATACAAACAAACAAAAAACCATCAGATATGGTATCCTGCTATGTTGGTCCAGATGTTTTCATTTGCATTTGAGTCCCTTGTAGAAGGCACTAAATCCCCATGGGAAGTAGTATGGAGTATTTTGCCTTGTAGTAAAGGATTTTCAGGATGAAAGGTCCTTAGACATGAAATGAGATCATTGGCAAGCTCCTGGTTTAAATTATTGTTTGAAAATTTGTTTGATCTGTCCTCTCTTGGGGGGAGAAAAAGCAGTGATGGCCTAGATACGATATGACAATACATTAATTTTTTCTCGGTGTCTAGATCACCATGGCAACTGGACAGAAGTTGATGAGGGCTGTTCGAGTGTTTGAATTTGGTGGACCGGAAGTGCTGAAACTCCAGTCTAACGTGGCAGTTCCTGTCCCAAAAGGCCGTCAGGTGGGGATGGTTATTTACAGTGCAGGCAGTGCTCGCAGGCGGTGCTCGCAGGCGGCGGTGCTCGCAGGCGGCGGTGCTCGCAGGCGGCGGTGCTCGCAGGCGGCGGTGCTCGCAGGCGGCAGTGCTCGCATACGGCAGTGCTCGCAGGCGGTGCTTGCTCAGGGCAGATGCACAGCCATCTACCAAGATGCTAGGTCAGACGCCACTGCTTAACCGTTTGTGTGACTCCACTGTGGGAGCCCACAGCTGACTCAGCTCCCCAGTTTGAATCTGAAGCCTGTTCTGAGTCAATAGAGTTCAAGCTTATCTGCCCCAGGACCGTGAGAAAATCCTGATTAGCCTATGGGAAAGAACATATTATCTATCTAAATTCAGGCTGCTGACGCCAGCCAGAGGTACATCGTGATAGAAAATGAAACTGCCTGCTCCTTGATGCGAGGACAGGATTGATAGTGGTTGAATGCCTGTGCTGTGCATTGTTCTCTGTCCTTCAAAACTGTATATAAGCTGGCTGTGAAATAAACTCAGGCACTGTCCGGCATTGGCTGGCAGACCTCGCGACTCACCCAGCTACCCAGTCAACTCATCGGCAGGCTCCGACAAATCCCAACAAAATAACGCAAGTGAGAATTACTGAAGTAGGCATTTGAAAAGGAATAACTTCTGGATACCACAAAGTTTCTAATGTTGAAAATCAGCTTTGTAGTATAATGACTTGAATTCTAGTATGTAATGTAGTAGTCATGGGAATTCTGAATAAGTTTGGCTATCATGAACCTCTCTGATTTTTATTTCTCACATGGTAGGAAAGAAATTTCTCTCTGTATTAATGCTCTGTCATATTGGACTTAAGAGAATTCAGTGGTGGGATTTAATTGTCTCTCGTGATTTTTTTATCAATATCCTTTTCACTCAAATTGTATATATTTATTAAGGTACATTACATAAATACCCTAGTCTAATATCCTTAGCAAGCCTTAGAAGAAAAAATTTTTTGAGCTCATATTTCCAGGTTCACTTCTTATTACCCTCTCAGTAGACTGTAACAACCTTAAGTTTATCCAGTTTCTTCAAGAGACTCTCATCCCGTCTTGGTATACATTTCTTCAACCTGAAAAATACACGGCCCCATTCCTACAGTATTTCTCCCTACTTTTTAAGGGGTTCTTCTGTAAGACCTCCCTTTACTCTTATAGCAGAGATAGGTACTTACTGTGTTCTGAAGAAAACCACACTTTTCTGCAACATGAGGACTTCAGCTCACTTCTACTGACAGTCTGCACCCCCGTCCACAAACTCAGCTTCTTTTTAGATGTAAATCACAACCTCAGTGGTTCAGCAACAGAAGATTTTTTCCCAGTTCCCACAGTGCTGGTGGGAGCCCTCCTCCACCAGTGACGTGGAGACCCAGGCCTCTTTCCTTGTAGGCTTTGTGGACTTTAGCATGGGGCTCTCATGGAAAGAGAGATTTTGGGGAGATTTCCCTGGACCAGGCCTGCAAGTGACTCTAAGTACTTTGCCTCACTGTCCTGTGGCTCCACCTCAGTCTGTTGGCTCCTCATGTGTGCAGGACGGTGTCTTCCTTACTTTTCTATTGCTGTGAAGAGACACCATGGCCAAGGTAACTAACAGAAAGGCGCGATTACTGGGTCTTACGGTCCAGAGCGTGAGTCCATGGGGTTCCTGTCGCTGTGATGAAACCATGACGAAAAGTAACTTGGGAAGGAAAGGGTTTATTTCACTCACGCTTCCATATAATGACTCATCATTGAAAGCAGTGAGGGCAGGAACTCAAACCGGGCAGGAACCTGGAGGCAAGAGCTGATGCAGAAGCCATGCAGGGGAGCTGCTTACTGGTGTGCTCTTCATAGTTTGCTCAGCCTGCTTTATTACAGCACCCAGGACCTCCAGATCAAGGTGGCACGAAGCACTGGGCTGGGCCCACACACATTAATCACTAATTAAGAAAATAACCTACTGGCCTTCCTATAGCCCCATCTTGCTGGGGCACTTTCTCAGTTGAGGTCCCCTCCTCTCAGATGACTAGAGCTTGTGTCAACTAGCCAGCATAATTTATTCCTTATCAACTTGACAAACAAACACATCGCTGTTAAGCTGCAATCTTTCCTTTCTTGTTCATCCCCAAGATCTCAGACTAATATCATCAGAGTTTAAAATATTCCACAGACTGAGGAAGCTCCACAGCCTTTACAAATTGAAACACTTTAAAATTCAGTCTTTAAAAGTTCAAAGCCTCTTAACTATGGGCTCTTGTGAAATCACAGTAAGTCAAATGCCTTCTTAATCCAAGAGGTATAGTCACAATCTGAACAAAGCAAAGCCAGTGTCTTCCATACTCCACCAAACCCAGCAGGGTCAGGCCTCACTACAGTAGCCTAGTCCCTGGTACCAACTGGTCTTAAGGTTTCTGTTACTGTGATGAAACACCATAATCAAATGCAACCTGAGGAGGACAGGGGTTATTGCACCCACAGTTCCACAGCACCATTCATCATCCAAAGCAGTGAGGGCAGGAACTCAAACCGGGCAGGAACCTGGAGGCAGGAGCTGATGCAGAGGCCATGGAGGGGTGCTGCTTACTGGCTTGCTCATCTTGGCTTGCTCTACCTGCTTTCTTATAGCACCCAGGACCACCAGGGATGGGCCACCCACAATGGGCTGGGTCCTCCCACATGAGTATTTAAGGAAATACCCTACAGAGTAAGTAGTCTACAGTCACATCATGTGGAAGCCATTTCTCAATTGAGGTTCCCTGCTCTCAGATGACTATAGTGTGTGCCACATTGACATAAAATCTAGCTGGCACACTGGGAGATAATGTTCCTCATACATATCTAAGAAGAAGAGGAAGTAAGTCTTATGGATACGTGGAGTTCACTGAAACACTCCTCCTTGAGCGTCTTTTATTGTTTCCTGAAAGTTTTGATTAGTATGTAAGCCAGTCTACCCTACTTCTTACTGCAGACTTAGAATACAGGCTTGCTTTCTCAGTTTTTCTAGCTCCATCATTATCCTTATAGCATCGTTGTAAGGCAATGCCACAGTGCTCTGTGTGAACTGAATTGTATTGTCATTGCAGGTTCTAATCAAAGTCCATGCCTGTGGCATCAACCCAGTAGAGACATATATTCGCTCTGGCACCTACAGTCGGAAACCCGCCTTACCCTTCACTCCAGGCACCGATGTGGCTGGGATCATAGAATCTGTTGGAGAGAGTGTGTCGGCTTTCAAGGTATTCGGTTCTTAATTATTTCTATTTTGACTTAATAGCGTTCCTCTGAAATTAATTCTAACTTTAAAGGCTTTCAAAGGTACCCATTGCAGAGTTTCTGCTAGTTGGGGGACTCCTGGTCAAAAAAGAAAGTTTTCTTTTCCAGCAACCTGCTTGTCTGCACTGTTGGGAATCAGTACTGGGTAATTTCTGTGTCACCATGACTCAATGAGTGAGTGGTGGTCCCTTTAGTCTGATAGAAACTTGTGAGTGAAGAAAACAAGTAGGAAGATGACAGATGGCCCAACTCTTGTCATACACAGACAGAAATTTTAAATTTCTTTTCACAAAGTAGAGGAAAGGTTAACTCCTTTGGAGGATAAATAAACCATGAGCATATGCAGAGTCACTGTGCCGTTTTGGCATTGAGATCAGGCCTATGGTCTTGGCTATTGCTCCTGTTCTGCCTAAAGACATGGCCAGCATGGATGGTGTCTGTGTGGTATGCTTATGCCTACCCTCTTTCCTCCTGTTTTCTTGACCTGCTCAACTTTGGCGCCGTATTCACCAACAATGGGCCTAATTGGAGAAACTTAGTGTGCTCCTTTGCAGGAAGTGGGCAGATTTCTGCAGTTCTCAGCTTATAGCATTCTGGCTTCTGCCTCAGTGTCTCTAAAACTCTCTTGCTAATGCAGTAATGGTCTCGATAGTCCCAGAGTCAATGGCCCTTTTATGTCCTTATCTTTCTTAACTTCCCGGTGACATTTGGCACCTCCAGTCACTTAACTTCTTCTTAGCCAACAACCAGAAACCAGCTTCCATTGGGTCTCCACGGTGCCACCTGCATTGCTGTCCTTTTTTCCAGGCTTCCTTGTTTTCCATCCTTGCTCTTGGAATGCTACCTTAATCCTGTCGCCTCAAGCTCTCAGTCCCATCCAGACCTGTTTTCTGTGTTCATTCTCTTTCCACAGTGGTCCGTAGCTATAGGCAATCTCATTCCTTTCTCAACTAAGTCCCGGGACTGTGTCTGAAATGGTATTTGCTGGCTATATTAATCAAACAATTAAATTCTCATTGTAGGTCTAGTTCCTATGCCACAGTAGTGACCTTTCAAGTGCTTACTAGTTCTGTGCATCTAGCTGCTCCCTTCCTAGACAGGGTAGGTGGAGGACATGTCTCTCACCACAGACTCTTCTTTGGGGAAGTGCTGTGTCCTGCTGGTCATTCCCCAGGAGGCCCTTCCTGCATCTCTGGAAGGTTGAGATCATCTGCGCTTACTCAGGTCTGACTGCCTTGGTGACAGCTGGTGTTTCAGGCCCATCTCAGGCCACCTGGCACTGCTCTCCATTTCCTCTCTGGCCACTGCCTGTGGCTTACTTCAGGTTGTCTCTCCTATTGAAGTAACTGTGACCCAGAATTCCTGTTCCTGGAGCCCTAACTCTAGAAAGCCCCATTGAACTTTCACATTTTTTACTTGTGTGTTTTGGTGTTGAAGGGCTCCCTGGTGTGAAGGAGGAGGACTGTTGCAGTTCTTTCCATCCTTGTCTGCCACTCCTCCCCACACTGCTGTTGTCTTCAGGACTGGACTCTCTTCCCTGTACAGTCCATGTCCTCTCATGGCTGTGTCGTGCCTATGCTGTTTCCACTACTGAAGCATAAGTGTGGCTTCAAGGGCTTCTGTACTCCTGTTTTCTTTTTTCCCATGTTATTTCCTATGGTTATTGTATGCTCCATATGAACACTTTCCTACTATTTGGAGCATGAACTGAAGTTGGCAGAAAATAACCCTCTACCCTGTGTTAGTGATTGTGCAAACATACTGGAATGGTATGGCTTCCATGATGATGTAGAGCTGGTATGCTGTGGGTCCTGAGCTAAACTGTCTTGGTCTGTCTAAGCCCTGCTACCAGTCATCCACTGCTCACCTCTTTGCTTGACCTAACATCCGTCTTTATGACTATTAGGACAACCCTTTGGGAATGTGCACACAGACCACAAGCTTCCACCAACTTTAATGCTAAGAATAGCATCAGACATCGTCTGAGGCCTGTAGCAGAGAATTCCCCACTCTGCTGTAACTGCCTATCACCATGTTGCCACGAATGCATCTGAAGAGTGCTGGATTTATGCTTTCTCTGTTCTTTACTTCATGAAGCTGTTAACACCTGGGACCATGGAGTTTAGCTGTGGTCACTCATGGCTCCAGGATGAATTCTTGCTCCCTTTGAGGTGAAAGTTTTGTTTTTGCACAAACAAGAGGAAATGCTTGCCATGTCTCAGCATTTGCTCTTGGCTGACTCCTTTGCCACTCGACTTCCTTCACCGTGTTGCCTCATCTGGTTCTGCTCTTCAGATCTCGTCCTGATGTCCACAACCTGCCTCCAACACCGGTGTCCCTGTGGAGCTTCCTCCATCCCCTTTCTTCTCTTGTCCTGTCTCACCGTGTGTGCTTGCTGTACCATTGCATGTCTCCCTTCCCCTCCTCTTAGAGGTGAGCATGCTTGAGATTTGGGACAGTGTGTTGCCATTGATATCCCTCGCAGAACTCCAAAATAATGCTTTCCTCTAGCGAGTTCTTAATGTTGAATCACATGGAAGTCCCTCAGGCCTGTTTTCAAGCTGTAAAACAGGGACTCATCTTCCTTCATCTCGCTTGCCCATTCTCACAGATGCTGCCCAATGCTCACAGTCGCTTTTGGTGCCCAGCTTCCTTCCAGAGCCTTTTCACATCTGTCCTATAGCACAATGCTGGTAGCTTTTCATATTTCTTTATTATGGGGCCAGTTTGAGTATACCGAGGCCATCATTGCTCAATATTTTGTCTATTCCATGGTCCGTTTACTGTCTTTTTATCCCCTAAAGATGTAGGCCATGTGTTTAGGTGGCCAGCCATTTTTCCAAGCACGTAGGGTATGTTAGACCAGGCTATGCATGTGCTTTTCCATGACCAGGGTGCAGCAGGTGGCCATTAAAATGGTGCTTTGCTTCCTGCTGTGAGAGGTACTGGGGTCTGCTGTGGCTCTTTCTGCTATTTCAATGTATGGCTTAATTAGATGACACTACGGAACTTAGGTTCACTTCAGTTTCCCCGTCTATAGTGGGGATGATGGAGCACGCACCTTCTCTAGGTCATTGTGGTGGTTATGTAGATGGCTACAGCGTCTAGCTTAGTAAGTGTTCAGCAGATCACACTAGCATCCCCCTGTCTCCTTTAATGCTTCTTTTCATAAGTTCCCATTTAAAAAACATGAACAGAGGTTCAGTGTCTCAGTTGTGTTTATGAGATGCTGAGTTGCAGATATCTAAATGTAAATGATTATTTCTTACTGTAAGGCTGGCATTGGAAAAGTCTCGTCTTGGAGTAATAGGAATTTCTGCGGCAGGCATTTGTTGATCTTGGAGTAATAGGAATTTCTGCGGCAGGCATTTGTTGATCTTTTTCAGAAAGGTGACCGGGTCTTCTGCTCCAGCACAGTGTCTGGTGGTTATGCAGAGTTTGCCCTTGCAGAGGATCACACCGTCTACACCCTGCCCGAGACACTGGACTTCAGGCAGGGGTCTGCACTTGGGATCCCGTACTTCACAGCCTGCCGTGCGCTGTTCCACAGGTGAGGTGGCCCTGGGACTTCACAGCCAGCCCAGCAGGCAGCCCTCACCACCTGCTTTCTGCCTGTGCTGTGGCTGCCTGTCCTTTCTGGCTGCTAGCCATTTGCCATTAAGCTTTTCTGGGGTCATGACAATCATGGAGAGGCCAGGAGTTTGATCATTTTGAGGAAGAATGAGGAAATTAATTCCTTGAATGCAGATTATCTTCTCAAAAACTGGGAATCAGGAGGGAAATGTTAGAAGACCCTGAGGTAAGTGTTTATCTGTGTCTTAGTCACTGTTCTGTTGCTGTGAAGAGATGCTGTGACTGTGGCAACTGTTATAAAGGAAAGCATTTAATTGAGGGCTTGGTTATGGTTTCAGAGCGTTGATTAGTCCAAGGTCATCATAACAAAGAGGACAGCAGCAGACAGGCATGATGCTGAAGAAGGAGCTGAGAGTGATACCCTGATCCAGAAGCAGAGAGAGGGAGCCTGGGCCTGGCTTGGGCTTTTGAAACCTCAGAATCTACCCCCAGTGACACACTTCCTCCAACAAGGCCCCACCTCCTAATCCTTCCAATTTCATCTAACAGTGCCACTCCCTGGTGATAAGCATTCAAATATATGAGCCTGTGGGAGCCATTTTTTTTCAAACCACCACAATCTTAGTGACTTTTCTCTTGCTGTGATATGACACCCTGACCAAGGCAACTTATAGAAGAAAGAGCATATTGGGCCTTGAGTTTCAAAAGGTGAATCTATGACCATTATAGTGGAAACATGGCAGCAGGCAGACAGGCGTGGCACTGGAGCATTAGCTGAGAGCTTGTATCTGATCCACAACTACAAGGTGGAATTGGGGTGGACTTTCTAAACCTCAAAACCCACCCTCAGTGACAAACCTCTTCAACAAAACCACACCTCCTAATCCTTCCCAAATAGTCCCTCCAACTGGGGACCAATTATTCAAATGCATGAGCCTATGTGGGCCATTCTAATTCAAACTACCACTGTGTTGGGAGATGTTTTTGTTTCTTTAATTTTTTGAAGCATCAGCCAGACATGTCCCTGTTTAGAACCAAAAGGGGATGTAGTGGGAGAGGAGAGGTAAACCCTGCAAGAGAAGACGGAAAGGACCCAGGCAGGAGACAGGCTTCAGGTTTTATGAGGAAAACCCACCCATGAGACCTAGAAGAAAAGATGTAACTATGGAAACATTTGCAGGTAGGAAGCAGGATGTTGAAGGTGCTTCTAGATATTGGAGAATCAGAGATGAGGGTACAAAAGTTCAGGGCCCTGGGATTTTCTCCTACATTTGTTATACATTGTCTTAGTTTGGGTTTTTATTACTGTGAAGAGACACCATGATCATGGCAACTCATAAAGAAAACATTCAACTGGGGTGGCTCACTTACAGTTTCAGAGGTTCAGTCCATTATCATCATGGCAGGGAGCAAGACAGCTTGAAGGTAGATGTGGTGCTGGGGCTGAGGGTACTACATCTTACAGGCAACAGGAAGTTACCTCACTGTCACTCTGAGTGAAGCTTGAGTAAAAAACAACCTCAAAGTCCACCTCCACAGTGACACACTTACTCCAACAAGGCCCCACCTCCTAATAGTGCCACTCCCATTGGGGACCATTTTTTTCAAGCCACCACATACATTTGGCAAATATTTCAAGGGAGTCAAGTTTTCTGATTAATCCAAAGCTCTTTGGTGGTGAGATGAAATCAGGCAGCGGTAACAAGAGCTCTGAAGAGAAGGAGCAATCAACAGTGGTCACTGCTGCAGCCGTGGGCCCTGGGGTCTGGCCCTTCTCTGGTTGTTCCTGTTGAACATGGAAGAGAGCGGATGAAAGTTAGGGATCGTAGGACACAGGTGCTGGATATTCTTCATGAAGGTTGGAATCCAGAACACAGCTGGGCTGGGGTTGAGTAAACGTCATGAGAGTTAACAAGCTAACAGCATGTACACACAGTTTGAACCCCAGGGGACGGGGCGATGACCATCAGAAACAAAATGAACCAGGGACATTTGTGCGTGTTTGGGTGCTACTCTTTATATCTGTATGCACATATATCTTCTCAAATCAACTAGACATGTATAATTGATTAATGATTTTAAAGACTTAGCTCCCAAAATTGTAGAGGACTGAAATTTGGTGGAGGAGGCAGCTGGATGGAGAGTTGGGGATGGCTGCAGTCTAAGCCTCACAGTCTGCTAGCACAGTGGCTTACGGGACATAGCCTGTGTTCTGTGCATGTCCTCACCTGACTGGATGAGGTCCACCCACACTGTAAAAGGATGACACTGCCAATTAATTGTTAATTTTGTACAAAATTACAAACAATAACAAAAACAAAATATCAACAAAAATGTTCTTTTAAGAACATCCAGAATGATACTTGAGAAAATCTGAAGTGCTTTCCCAGTCACATTGTTATACAACATTAACCACCATGGCTGCATGCAGGGAAGCATGGCAGAGCCATGGGAGTGAGGGAGAAGGTCCATGCAGAGCAGAGGGTGTGAGGGAGAAGGTCCATGCAGAGCAGAGGGTGTGGGGGAGAAGGTTCATGCAGAGCAGAGGGTGTGAGGGAGAAGGTCCATGGCAGAGGAGAGGGTGTGAGGGAGAAGGTCCATGCAGAGGAGAAGGTGTGAGGGAGAAGGTCCATGCAGAGCAGAGGGTGTGAGGGAGAAGGTCCATGCAGAGCAGAGGGTGTGAGGGAGAAGGTCCATGCAGAGCAGAGGGTGTGAGGGAGAAGGTCCATGGCAGAGTAGAGGGTGTGAGGGAGAAGGTCCATGCAGAGGAGAGGGTGTGAGGGAGAAGGTTCATGCAGAGCAGAGGGTGTGGGGGAGAAGGTCCGTGCAGAGGAGAGGGTGTGGGGGAGAAGGTCCGTGCAAGAGGAGAGGGTGTGAGGGAAAAGATTTCTTTCTTTTACTCTAGGCCTTGAGATTTGGGGAAATGCGTTCTTCATGTTTGAGGGATTTTCTAACGTTTTCAAGGTGTGTTTTATCTCTCAGTGTATATTGTTAGTAATCTTATTCTCCTACATTTGTACATCTAAGGTATCAGGGTTTTTGATATTTATGTCTCAGTTTATTATTTAAACTCTGTCTCTTTCCCTGTCTTCACTTCCCTGTCTATAAACAAGAGTGAGGGAGGCTTCAGTGATTGCCACATGTAAACCGTGAGCAGGGACTCAGGGCTATATGTTCTCATTCTAGAATGAACAGGGCCTCCAAAAAGGGGCCCTCTTTCTGTGTTCCCAGAGTGAGCTGGGTGATAAGGGTGTAGTGGTGACGTGAGGGCTCATGTGCTTGAATAGTGGAGCACTCCCCATGCTGTCTCGGCGTCTCTTCCTAGCACCCAGTGTCTGAAAGACCGTGGTAATGGGGCACAGGAGTAAAGCCTGGTGTGTAGATGTAACCAACCTTCTTATTAAATAAGAAACACAGAACCAATGCAAAGAAGAAAGCCAAGAGGTCAGAGCTAAGAGCTAAAACCTTACCCTTCCTCCTGCAGTGGTCCTACCTCTCTGAACCAGAGCTACTTTCTGTGTTAAAGTCCTTATATAGAATTTCTGTTCTGCCTTCTCATTGGTTGTAAACCCAACCACATGACCGCCTTGTCATGGCCTGTCTGTATAGACCTCCAGGTCTTCTATGGTTGGTATTGAGATTAAAGGCATGTGTATCTAATAATGGCTGTATCCCTGAACACACAGAGACTTACCTAGCTCTGCCTACCAAGTGCTGGGATTAAAGGCGTGCGCCACCACTGCCCTGCTTTCCTATGGCTTGCTAATATCTCTGACCCCAGGCAACTTTATTTATTAACATACAAATAACATTTTAATACAAATAAAATATCACCACTGGTGGGCACTCTACAGGGACCCTGGGGCCCTTGATGACTCAGCACTGCCGTTCTCAGGACTCTCAGACCTGATGTTCAGAGGTGTGGAAGGGCTAGGACATTTTCTGGGCACTGCCAGAAGCAGTTACCTGCTATTACCTGGGTAACGCTGGACCACAGGATAAAGACTGAGGCGCAGAAAACTTGTTGGGGACACTCTCTGTGGGGACACATGGACATGAGGGACTCCAATTTTTCTGGTTCGGAAGTTCCACCAACATACGAGGACTGTAGCCTAAGAACTGCAGTGTGATTTCTGCCTCCATCATGGACAGAGGCAGGTAACAGATGCCCAGTGGCACCCCTGAGTGGGTACTGCATGGAAGGTTTATGTTCACTGCGGCTCTGGGAACCATCCTTTGAGCCTTGGGGTTAGAGGATACTTGATTCCATGTCAGGATGCAGTAGCTCTTTGGGTGTTAGCTGAAGCAAGAGTAGAAACTCCTCGAAGATGATGGAAAACAGCAGCTCTTGGTCAGCTTAGGAGGAGAGAGTAACGGCCCCTCTGCTTTGTTCTGCAGCGCCCGTGTGCGAGCTGGGGAAAGCGTCTTGGTTCATGGGGCGAGTGGAGGAGTAAGTATCTATAGTTTTAAGTCTATGTTTAAGTGAGCGTGGAGTTATGGGTCTCACATAATAGTTCTTGAAATCTCCTTACCTTTTTACTTTTTAAATTTTAAAAAGTTATTCTTTGAGAATTAATGTGGTGTGTTTTCCCCCCGTGTGGGGAGTGCACCAAGACTGACCTGCCTTTGCCTCTGGGTGGTGTTTCTCATTGTTCTTAGAATTTTGTGACATTTTAAGCTGTTCGAAGGTTAGCAATAGTTGTTGCATATTCCCTTAGATAACAAAATAAGGCTCATTAAACCTCTTGGGCAGTGTGGTCAGCTTCTCTTCTGTCCAGTCCTCTCTCTGTAGCTAGAGTTTTCCTGCCTGGCCCACAGTCAGGACAAATCTCTCTCACCTGCCAGTCCCATAGCCGTCAGACCCGACCAAGTAAACACAGAGACTTATATTGGTTACAAACTATATGGCCGTGGCAGGCTTCTTGCTAACTGTTCTTACAGCTTAAATTAATCCATTTCCACAAATCTATACCTTGCCACGTGGCTCGTGGCATACCGGCATCTTCACATGCTGTTTCTCATCATGGCGGCTGGCAGTGTCTCTCTGACTCAGCCTTCCACTTCCCAGCTTTATTCTCCTCCTTGTCCCGCCTACACTTCCCGCCTAGCCAACGGCCAATCAGTGTTTTATTTATTGACTAATCAGCAACACATTTGCCATACAGAACATCCCACAGCATCCCTGTCAACACACACATACACACACACACACACACACACACACACACACTGTGATGACATCCAGGGAGTGCTTGGTAGATAGCTGTGTCCTCAACACCACAGGCCAAGGCTGAAGATGTTGAGAATCAGTGGGGAAAGGATTCAGAACTTAGCACCTAAGCCTCTTTAGGCAATCACTAAGTATAGCACTGTTAGACTCCTCCTCAGAAATCTTACTGTAGTCTGCCTCCAAGGAGCATGGCGGGAAAGGTAGAGGGATACATTTGGAATTTAATACTACAGCACAGGGAGGCTTTGAAATGTTGCAGACAAGATTTCACATTTTTAAAACCCAGGGCCCGGGGCACGATGGCTCACCTTCAGGGAACTTGTCAGCTTTCAGTACTGGGTGTTCTGGGAGGAGGAGGAAAGGAGTCACTCGTGGGCACAGCATGCCCCATGTAATGATGGTGGTGCCCTGACAGTATGACTCTGCTTCTAAAAGTGCCAGGTAACTCAAAAGTCAGGCCACTTTGTGTCTCTAGAGATGAACTTCCTTGTTTCATGTCCAGCTTCTGACTCAAAGGAGTCAATCCTGGAGGATTTCACAGATCAGACTGTTTATCAAAAAGTCCAAGGTGTCTCTGTGAAAACAAAACCGCTGAACTCACTGTTTACTACCACCAAAGGCTGGTTTTGGATAAGGTTTAAATTTAACCCAATAACCAAAGGTTTGAAAAGCACATGAGTTTATTTAAATTACTATGGCTTTCTGAGAGCCTGGCGCTCTGTAGAGAAGAGAGATTTTGGTACAGTGGAGAGAGAGGAGTTTAAAGGAAATCTCTTTATTCCCTGTCACTTCAGATGGATTGGTTTGCTTTTTGAAAAGGTAAAATCCAAACTGTTGGTTTTCGGAGCTGACTGAGCCTGCTAAATCCTGGCTGGCTGCGCCCGGCTGGCGGCTGGAGTGGGAAGCACCTGATCCCCCTGTCGTATCCGAGGGAGACAGCACTGGCTTTTGCCTGGCTTCTGTTTGTACTTTATGTTCTCATTTAATTCACATTTCTGTGGGATTATGTTGTGGGTTTAAAGTGATGTGGATTTACGAACACAGCCATTGTCCTAATATGTTGGAGGGGAGTGCCTCCTTTTAGTCGTAGCAAAGTAAGTTGGAGAAAAATAAAAATAGCTGGCAGATAATGGCCCATAATCTCTTGGAAAAATATTGAGTCTAATTGTTGGCAAGAAAATAACAGCCAGAGCCATTCAGAAAACGACTGGGTGGCCCCTCAAAGGAGAGCATTACATGATAGGTTTGCATTAAACCTGTACTTTAAAATGTGATTTTATTAGAGTCATAGTGTCAATGGAAAATTTAAGTCGTCGGAGTGGATTGCGATGATCTTGTAGTGCAGCGTCTCACCTGATGGCCCCTGTCCTCTTCGTCAGATGGGGTCCTGCATGCTTGTTTTGGTTAGAGTCTAGAAACCCCACAGCTTGACTTGCATAGCCTCGTGGACCTTACAATCTTTAAGCCTATTGTAGCCTGGGAGGCTAGAATTGCTCCTGCTCAAGTGAGTTTCTCTCATTTCTCATTGTAATTATTTTTCCTTTCTTGCCCAATCCCGTTGGCCTTCCAGATCACAGCTTCTTCGGTGTTTAATTGAGTTTTTTACATTTATTGATTTGTGTGTCTGTGCCTGCTCTTGGTGGTCAGAGGACAACTTGCCTGAGTTGGTTCTCCACTTCTACCACATGGTTTCTGACTTGGCTCGGTGGAAAGCAGTCTGTCCTACTGATCTGGTGTCAGCATGTATCAAATCAATGTCGACTTTGAATTGTATTGTGTTGGAATCTATGGTTTTAGTAAGATGGTGTGATATGGGAGGGAATATGCTCACTTTTGGCCTCTACATGTGCACTGGATATATACACTAGCACATGCACACATATACTCACAAAGAAGGCTTGATTTTAAAAATTGCTATTGAATTGCTGCCTTGAGTTTCATTAAAAAATAGTTCAATAAATTGTGACCTGGGAGTAGGGAAGGATTTTCAACAATTTCTGAAGTGGGCCTAAACATGTCTGCCACTTTTGTACTATGTATATTTATGTGAAGTGTCATTCTTACACTTGACAATTATAAAGTCAGAATAATGGGTCAAACTCTGAGAGGTCTGATTTGTGTGTCTGTTTCATGTGTCGATATGCCTAAGGTTTTGTAAAAGGAGTCCTGAGTGGAAAATGCTGAGGAAGCCCTGGTCTGTGTATGAAACACTGATCATTAACAGAAAATGACAGCCTAACAAGGTGGCTCATGTTGAAAATCCTAACACTTGGGAGGCTGAGGCAGAGGCTCACTATGATTTCAGACCAGCCTGGGCTATGTAGTGAGTTTCTCAAAAGAAAAGAGAAATGGGGAGCTGGAGAAACGGCTCAGAGGTTAAGAGCAGTGACTGCTCTTCCAGAGGATCCAGGTTCAATTCCCAGCACCCACATGGCAGCTCACAACGGTCTATATAACTCGAAGATTCGACACCCTCACACAGACATACATGTAGGCAAAACACCAATGCACATAAAATAAAAATGAATAAATGATTAAAAAAAGAAAGAAATGGCTGAATATCTTCTTTTCAAGCAATAAGTGCTTTTCTAAATTTGACTTAGAATAAAACTGGGGATATAAAAAACATATGATAAATCACAGTTGGGAAGGGTTTTATTCTATGAAAAATGAGAGTAAATGGATGCAGTTGAAGAGCCCAAACTCTGCTCTGGATCAGCAGTTCCCAGTGGGATGATTTCACATCACTCTACTGTAGCACGAATCTTAAAAGGTCTTATTAATAAAAACAAACCCGGTGCCAGTTATTGGGGTGAATGCTGGAAGATCAGAGAAGCAGAACAAGCCACAGCTACCTCACCTCGTTAATTCCTCAGCTGATCCTGTTTCCTCAGACTGGAAGCCTCTGTGTCCTCATCTGAAGGGCTCTCAGCTGAACTGCTGCTCAAAAACCTAAAAGCTTAACCAGCTCTAGTTCCTGGTTTTCACACCTTATATACCTTTCTGATTTCTGTCCTCACTTCCTGGGATTAAAGGCATGAGTCACCATGCCTGGCTGTTTCCAGTGTGTCTTTGAACTCAGAGATCCAAATGGATCTCTGCCTCCCAAGTGATAGGATTAGGTGTGTGTGTCTCCATTTTCTGGCCTCTATGTCTGTCTAGTGTCTGTTCTGTCCTCTGTCCCAGATGAGTTTATTAGGGTGCATAATACATGGGGGACACAATGTATCACCACACTCCGCTTCCTTACTGTGGATTCACCAGGGTCTAGAGGGTCTGCCTGCCAGTGCGAGGATACGAGTCTAGGGTACAGCTGTGAGCACACCTGGAGTGCTTAGATTCTCCAGGGAGTGCCAGGTTTCTCAATATTGTCCAGAGCCTTTACCTTGCCCTGGACCTTGGCTGTTGACTTTGTCTCCACTGGGTCATGTGATCCTTCCCTGAGCCATGTCATCCCTCTTTCTGCCCTTTGACCATCCCAAGCATGTCCCTGCTCTATCCATTCAGCCAGCGCCTCCCTTCACCCTCTGCAATTGGCCAGTGTTGGACTGGCTCTCCTCCCGCCCCGCCCCTCCCTTCCAGGCCTCCTTTCTTCCAGTCACCTAAGGACCTAGACAGCCCCTCTCCACATCTCTAACCCAGGTTGTTGTTTCCTCTAGTACTTTCTGTTCACTTCACTGACTTTACTGGCTTGTTTGTTCATTTTCTATCTTCCTTTGTCTTTAGAATGTAATTTTTTTTTACATTAAGTGCATGGGCAGCACAAGACAGGCACTCAATAAATGAGCCTATAAACCTGTGTCTCTGACTTAAATGGTAGAGGCCTTATGCTTGTTATAAGACTGTCGTATTTAATTGGTTAGATATAGTTAGGCAGCAGTGTTGAAGTCATCTTTAAAGCCTGCACCTCCTGCACAAAGCAGGTATTAGCAGGTGTTCTGAGCCGGTGGTTAATGGTTGCTTTGTGCAGTCTGATTCGGCCTTGTTCTGCTGTGTGAGATTTGGACAGAGTTGGTGTATTTAGAGCTTGCCATTCCTTATCAGCATAATACAGATAGAGGTGATGAAGACCTCACCGAGCGTGGTGAGGATAATTGAGCACAGTGTAAGGGACATAGCGTGTCACCAGAATGGTACGAATATGACTCAAAGCTGGTTTTCTTCTAACCTTCAGGATTGACTATAACTAGGACAGTGGTCTCACCTGCCTAATGCTGTGACACATTAATACAGTTCCTCACGTTGTGGTGACCCCAACCATAAAGTTATTTCTGTGCTACTTCATAACTGTAATTTTGCTACTGTTATGAATCATAATGTAAGTATCTGATATACAACCCTGTGAAAGTGTTGCTCAACTTCCAGGTTGAGAAGCACTGCGCTAGAGGGATCTGCAGTTTCCTGTTGGCATCAAAGGCTTTTCGGGAATGCAGAGAATGTGTAATGTCAGGCTTATATTTTGTTTTTCAGGTTGGAATAGCTACGTGCCAGATTGCCAGAGCTCATGGCTTAAAAGTTTTGGGCACAGCTGGTTCTGAGGAAGGAAAAAAGCTTGTTCTGCAAAATGGAGCTCATGAAGTGTTTGATCACAAAGAGGTTAATTATATTGATAAAATCAAGGTAACGTTTTCTACAGTTTTAAAAAGTCAAACATCACTTCTTTTTACTCATTTTAAAAACAAGTTATTTTAACTACTACCCTTTTAATGAATAAATAAGACTTTGCTTAATAAATAAGATTGCTTCTGTTTTCATATCTCTGTGTGTTTTAATTGATTTAAAAGGCACAGACATCTAGTTTTTCATCCTTTGCTGTCGTATTTTCATTGTGCATGCATATCAAATGAGGTGGAGCTTTTCTGATGGCTCAAAAAATTGAAAGGTCACATTGTAAGTAAAGCTTGCAGCTCCACGACGCTCTTATGGCAGCTGTTATGATGTAAAATTCCCATTGCAGTTGAGATTCCCAGAATTACGCATCAGATGTATCTATCTGGAAAATATGCTGCTTGTTAACGGGGTCCTTGGGGAGGAATGATCACTGTCCTTCCCATCATGGTGAGGAGCATTCAGGTAATTGTTGCATACAACCCAGTTCATACAGGATCTTATCTGTTTTGCCTGGCCAGCGCTCTGCCACTGACTTCTATTCCCAACCCACACCTCAACCCTCAAGTCCCTATTTGTATACTGCTAATAACTAATTCAAGACTGACTCCTTGCTCACCCTCACAAGCACTTTCTTGAGTTAGGAGAATGAGAATTCCCGGCACTGAGTGCTTTCGAGGTCATTACCCAAGGAGGAAGAATGTGGGGTGGTCTATTTCCACCATACTGCCTTGCCAAAAACACCAGTCAAGGCTCTCATTGTGCCTTGTAGGGGAGCTGGCACCCCATGCTTACTCCTGGAGTGTTTACCGAGGTTATGGAAGCCTGGTTCCTGGGTGAGCTGGCTGCTTGTTTGTCCAGAGTCTGAGGTCTTGACTCCTTCACCTGCCCTGCGGCTTCTCTGTTTCTCATGTTCCCAGAAATGTCCAGGCCTCTCCCTCCCCTCTGCTCTCCTTCCCCCTCCTCTCCCCTTCCCTCTCCAGTTCCTTTGCTGCTTAATGTCTGGAAACACAGGGGACTCACTGCTCCCTCGCTCCCTTCCTCCCTCACCCCTCCCTCCCTCTCTCCTCCCTCCTTCCCAGTGCAGTTCTGCATTTATGTTATTGGACGTCTACCCAGGCTGCCTCTCAGGGGTCAGAGGTGAGGCCTTGTGACTAGGCTGGTCTTGTGTCTGTCTTCATCCTCAGGAGTGAGACCTTGACTCCATCTCCTTGAAACTGGCTGTCTTCCTACACACTGGCATCACGTTAACCTCCTTCCTCTCCATGTTATCACACACTGTGTGTCTGTGTGTCTGTGTGTCTGTATGCTCTCTGTTGCCTCTTTGACCTGAGTTTCATTCCTGTGTGCCACCGGCCTAGCAGTCTTTGCCATACATGATACCAAGGCAGGAGCCCAATCTCAGTGTTTATTCTCATTTTAAATCATCTCCCTGCTGCCCTCCACATTGCCCACGTTACTCTGCCAGCTTCACCCCTGCAAGGGTCTCTCAAGTCCTTGTCACTGCTACTTAAGCCTCCGTTTCCACAGCCTGGTGAGTGTTTTTTTTTTTTTTTTTGGTTTTTCGAGACAGGGTTTCTCTGTGTAGCTTTGCGCCTCTCCTGGAACTCACTTGGTAGCCCAGACTGGCCTCGAACTCACAGAGATCCGCCTGGCTCTGCCTCCCGAGTGCTGGGATTAAAGGCGTGCGCCACCACCGCCCGGCCATGGTGAGTGTTTTAACTGAGCTCAGAGCCCCTTTATCTTCTACTGTTCCCAGAGAATTTTGTCCCTTTAAGTGTATCAAGAAATAACTAGAATGGATCTCTCTTCAAATAGGAATTTTGACTTCCTGCCTCTTACTGAGTTTCTAATACTTAAAACATTGAATTAATGAACACCTGAAAAATAAAACCAAACACCCAGTCTTTCACTTAAGGCACTGTTCAGCATGTTTTCAGCTGTAACGGTTTGTGTTTTCCTCTCCCACCATGCTGTGGCTGAGGAAGAATTCCCCAAAGGCCCTGTGTGTAGATTTTCCTCATCTCCCGTCTTGTGTTTAGGAGACCCCTTTTCATCCTCCAGGTCATTTCCTCTGAAGAACTTTCTTTCACCCGTGTAGGCAATTAAACTTTAACTCTTTCCTTCTGTAACTCATGGCCTACGTCTGCTAACACAGTACTCAGGCCTTCCTTCTGTAACTCATGGCCTACGTCTGTAACACAGTACTCAGGCCTTCCTTCTGTAACTCATGGCTTACGTCTGTAACACAGTACTCAGGCCTTCCTTCTGTAACTCATGCCTACATCTGCTAACACAGTACTCAGGCCTTCCATGAAAGCTGTGCTTGTGGTGGTTTCCACCCAGATTTCTAGTTTTAAGTGCACTACATTCATTCTTTGCACTCTATCCAATGCCTGGTGTACATAGTCACTTTTGTTAAAATAAAGTAAAACAAATGTAATATAAAATAACTATAATACTGCTGGCTCTTCAAGAACAATTTTTAAATATGGAGAACCAATACTCTACAGTGCAGACAAAAAGAATTAGTGGAGCAGACAATGAGAAAGCACTTAGAGCAGCACTGAATATGCACACACAGAAATACATACCCCACCCACCCACAGATACACACCCCAGTCCACCCCACACATCCTGAAAGCACCAATGGGAGACCCCTAGGGTTTGGGAAGTTTTGATTTGTTTCTTCCTCTCTGTAGACATTTTTAATGATAGGAAATTTTTAACTAAGGAAAAACATTTTATGTTCAAGTTGACTAGCACACACAAATAATCCATACAGATTTTATCTCAATATGGCAATTTATCTGGTGCCTCTCAGTCTTCACACTGCAGAGTGTGGCTGTTTGCTTGGCATGGCATCATTGCCTTGTAATTAGACCATTTTAAAGCATGCATTGTTAGTCTTAAAAACGCAGCATTTACATGCCATCTGAAACACATTTCTGTGAAACATGCTACTGGAGAAGCGAGTTTACAGCTGTTCACCTTTATCATGTTCTTTTTATTATGCAGAAATCTGTGGGTGACGAGGGGGTTAATGTGATTATTGAGATGCTGTCGAATGTCAACCTGAATAATGACTTGAAGCTTCTGTCCCAGGGAGGACGGGTAATTGTAAGTATTGTCCTTCATCCCTTTGACGTTCTCTGCCATTTCCCCCTTCACAGGCATCTTCACAGTGTACCTGATCTTTTCATGACAGGTTGTTGGCTCTAGAGGTCCTATTGAAATAAACCCAAGGGACACCATGGCAAAGGAGACGAGTATAATTGGAGTTTCTCTCTTTTCATCCACCAAGGTAGGTAAAGAGGTGGTTCTGATGTTGCTAACATAAACACTTGGAAGTTTGTCTAGTCAACAGATTTACAGTAGATGCTGAGCTTGGTCACCCGACTGGAGAGGTAGATACCGGTCAGTCACTGGATGGTTTGTGAGAGCAGCAGTATAATTCAGTCTGTTTGGGAGAAGCCATGCTAATCATAGCTATTTCAAGACAGTATTTCCTATACTAACACTGTCCCAGACTTGTGCTATTGACAGAATTAAAAGGGAGTTCTGGGCCAATTGTCAAATCTGCACATTTGCAAGAGGACCTTTCTGGTGTGCCTCCCTGATATCCATGTTCCTTAATAACTCCAAACATGAGTCATGTGGTCCACTGCTGAGAAACAGAGAACAACAAAAACACACTTTAAAACATTTTTGTCTCTTTCCCCTAGGAGGAATTTCAGCACTTCGCAGGCATCCTCCAAGCAGGAATTGAAAAAGGTTGGGTGAAACCCGTGATAGGTTCTGAGTACCCATTGGAGAAGGTGGTCCAGGCCCATGAAGACATCATCCATAGCAGTGGGAAGACCGGGAAAATGATTCTTCTCCCATGATGACCAACTCTTTCTGAGACGCCCTGTGTCACTGTGACATCTTCCTTCCCAAGTCTTTCTTCTGTCTGTCATCTTTAATCAGCATTCATTTCATTGGGTTTCATGTATTAAAAACATGACTTTCGGGGGTAGACACAGTGGAGTAACACCATAGCAGAGAGCAGCATGCAGACTTATGTGGGCTTGGCATGCATCTCAAAACTGGTTTTGCTTCTTTCTCTTGGTTTTCTTGGTTTGGTTTAGTGTTTCTGTTTTGTTTTGTTTTTGAGACAGGATCTTGCTCTGTAGTTCATGCTGGCCTTGAACTCATGGTGATCGTTCTGTCTCAGCCTTCTAAGTGCCAGGGTAACAGTCCTGGACTGCCACACACAGCTTCATTTCAGAACTTCTTAATTGATTGACTTCAGGCCTTTGACTCTTGACCTCCAGGGGCTTCCAAGCCTGCCTACCTTTATTTAAGGTGTCCAGTCCTCTGGTCGGCATGGCTGTCTTGGACTCTGAAGACTTTCTGGGCTGGAAAACATCCTTTTAAAACCAATATCATCTCAGTCTGTGAGCCTCTGGGAAGGGCAAAATGAGCAACACCTGGGACAGCTGTCAGTTTTCCTAACATTTCTGAAAATGCTAGAATACTTACATGCTGGTCACCAACCATGTTCCAGGAGATCAGCAACCGTATTCTGGGTCTGTGGAATTGAGTACAGTCACTCATTCAATGCTTCATGGTTATTTAGAGTTTCCTGTATGTGTGACACAAGCCTCATAATTTTGCTTAAAATTGTAAGTTCACAAATTTAACACATTAAGAAAGGTCTGCTTTGGTTTTCATAGTATTGTAACTTGGAGTCAATTCTGTAGAATCCTGAAGCCTAAAGCACAAACCTCATTTCTGCATGGCTCCTGACCTTGTGACTGCTTAGTAGGCCTGTTTTGTGCTGGAATTCTTTTAGACTAAATAAAAGGACAGCCTTTTAGAAATCTCACCCCAGTATTATGTCCAAGGTTCCATAACTCACTTTTGGTTTTGTTTTTCTCCACATGAACATATTGCCTGTTTATTGTCGAATTATATGGGTAATTGTCTTGTTTCATTTGTTCAGTTGAACAACAGTTTGCTAAGGAGTGAGCAGAAATCACTGTTCATGCAGTTGGGGGATGTGGGCACTGATGTCTTGATGTTTGTGCTGTGACCAAAGTGTTTTAGCCATTAGCATGGTCTAAGTTCAGCCACTGTTACTTACTGGTTAACTAACCTATAAAATAACATTTTAACAAAGTTTCAGAAAGACAATGTCTTGGATCCTTAGAGTAGTATTTTAGATGCTTCCTAAAGTGGAGGATTCTTTCTTAGGCACAAAGATTAAGGAATGATACTTGTGTGGACAGCTTGGTCTGTTTGCATATTTGCCTTGTGAATAGGAGCTAACACACAGACCCTACACTACTTCACAGTCATTGCTATAGGGCAGTTACTTTTGAGGGCAAAACTAGCCATACTTTGAGCTAACTGCCAGGGTTAAGGTGCTGCAGCACCAGGTGTGTTTCTGTGTGAATCTCTGTAATTCTGGCTCCAATGCTATCCCAGCTTCTGGATCACTGCAATCACTAATTAGGGCTCAGAGCCCAGGTCACCATGGGCTGTCCTCCATGAAAGGCAGATAATGATCGTTTCAACTCTCAGCCTTCTGGATTTCTGCTCTTGGCTTCTTTGAGTCTGATGCCCAAGACTCATGTTAGAGAACAAGGTGATAAGCAACCCTGATTCCCAAAGCTGGAACAGCACACTCATAGGCACATGACCAGGAGCTTGGCATGGATTGAGTTTTGTTGGTCACTGATGTTAAACTTCAAACTCTTGAACTTACCTCTCAAGGCCTTTGGCTTTTCTAACTTAGTATTCCTCTGGCTCCTATGGGCATTGAACAGCCTGCTGCCCAGCTCTGCTCTGCATGGGTTCCTCTTGTTTTTCTGACTCTGTTCATCATCCTCACCTGGCTTCACTTATTTTCTGATTGGATAGTAGTTATTTAGGCTCAGTCCCTTCATCAGTAGCTCAGCACCCTTCGAGTAGTCTGGGAATACACTCTGCTGCAATCAGAGGTGACAAAGATAAGTCAAACATGACCCATGTCCTAGGGTCCATTGTTGAATGGAGTAAGACCCTGTGAAATATTTCTCACCTTTGGGGGACATCTGTCAGGGATCCCCAGAGAAACATCATCACCAAGGCACATATTAAGAGGGTTTGAAGGAATTCCCTCAAACAATTGTAGGGGTTGGTGTGTCAGGGGCAGCAGGCCAGAATGTAGGTTGGGCTTTTACTTTGGAGTTCTGAGGCAGAATTCTCTATGAAACTTTAGTTTTTGCTGTTAAATCCTTCAACTCACTGGAAATGGCCTTCCTATACTATTGAAAGAAATTTCCTTAGAGTTGCTATAGTTTTTTTGGTTTTTTTTTGCAAACAGATAAAACATGACTTTGTTGCCAGGTAATAAACCATCACAGGTGTCATGGGCTCACAGGGCAGTCACTTAATGTTGCTTGGAAGTTCTACCTGCACATTTAATGCTTCTGATGCTCTTTGTCAGCTTTTTATATGTGCTTTGGCCATGGAACCAGGGCTGGGGACAACCTTAGATACTCTGAAAGAGGAAAGAAAACCAGGAAACTTTTCATAATGTTCTTAAGTAAACATTAAAGCAAGAAATTACTTGTTTCCCTGGGATGCCCACTGTTCTCAGGATAAAGAGCCGTTTTTCTGTACCAGGTAACTTCCAAGAACAGCAAAAACCCATCAGGTCAGCCTGCCCTGACTCACCTTCTTTGGTCAGCCACATCCCAAGGCAGGAAAGCACCCCAGCACAATCCTTAGCCATCTCTAATAATGGCAATTTTGAGTACATTGCTTTTTAAAATGCCATTTAAAATTACAATAACAATTTTATTGCTTCACAGAGCCCATATTTTGGGAACTTCCTCTACCCAAGGAAAAGGTCTAGGAAGTGTTATGTCATAGAAACCTGGGTTCACTGTTGTCTTCCAATGGCCTGTCAGGCATCCATGATGGCCCACGTGTGTCCCTTTAGAGTAAATCTGAACTGATTTCCAAATCAGTGTGTGATGCAAACATTCATTAAACATGTGCTGAGTGTGTAATGGGAAGAATTCTCCTTCAGCTGAGAATTCATGTAAGACTCAGAGATCCCAGGAGAACCTCTAAATCTCCATGAGTGTTTAGTAGGACCTTAGTCAATGCATAAGAAGTCTCCCCTGACAATACATAATCAACAGTTTACAAGGGGTAGGGAATGTTGTCATAATCTTGTCTACGGGGCCATCCTAGGATAATCTCTTCCCTGCCCCAAAAGAGATTTTTCTCTGGAGCTGAGCAAATTTTTCAGAAGCAGAAATTGTGGGGTTTTAATTCGGAGAGTCTATCTAGACCATGATATGTAAGTGAATCTCAGGGAGATTTTTTTGTTGCTGCTGCTGTTGTTTTTTTTTTTTTTTTTTTTTTTTTTGGTTTTGGGGTTTTGTTTGTTTGTTGTTTTTTAAAACAACCAGAAGTCCCAGTTCCTGGTTTACTCTTCTCAACTCTACATAAAAATTACCTAGGAAGAATGTAATGTCAGAAACTAAAGTGACACACACCACCATCACTGGGGATTTCTGAATCCATTGTCATTTGAGTCACTGAGCTAAATCAGGAAGGAAGAAGTCCAAATTCAGTCATTGTCTCTAACCCAGGACACAGGAGCTACAGTTCTGGAAAGCCACACCCTTCTCACCTGCCCAAAGCTCATCTGAGGCAGGGGTGGCTAAGGTCAGGGCCAGGCCACTGTATCCATCAGTTCCTTCTCTCTGCACATTAGAGTCAATTCCCAAAGCAGTTGCATTTTTGACCTGTAGTGTCCCCAAAGGCCAAAGTGCCAACTGCTTGCTTGGTCCTCTGCTTGGTGACACTGAGAGGTGGCAGGACATTCAGTCGGTTGGAGCTGTTGGAGGTGCTGAGTCACAGGGTGTGCCATCAAGAGGACTGTGGGCTCCAACCTCTTCCTTTAGTGTCCGCAGGAAGGGTGATGGGTCTTCATTTACCACATGCTTCTGCTGTGATGAGCATCAGGCCACGGGCCCCACAGCCATGGCGTCAACCACTCGTGGACTGAAGTCTCCAAAGTGAATCTCAAACACACCTTTTCTACTTGTAGAATAAAAAGGTTTATTTTAGTGGACTGTCTCGGGTGTTAACAGGGATGGCAAACTGGTCAACCCAAATTGGCAGTTGCTACCCAGAAAGTATTTTGCACATAAATGTTGATCGGAGGATCCCTGTGTTACAGCACAGGCTGGAAGGGAAACCACACTTCAGCAATGGATGTGTTCTGACAATAGATTATCCAAAGACTGAGAAGTCCATGCCACAGTACAGTAAGTAAGCACATGGGTTGACACAAGGAGTTAAGAGGCTACTTTCCTACAGGAACAGATTTGAATGGACTGGAGCACTATGGACAGGAAGGAGGGGCCACGTGCACATGTAACCCCGACACAGCTAAAGTATAAATCTCATTTGATTCAATATAATTCCCTCCACAGGAAGTTCTCCTGAAGAGTCAGGCATATCTACAAGGATATGTGTCCAAGTGATTCTCATCCTAACCATACTAATAGTAAACTATTGGAAACAACCAACTTTCCATCAGTGGAGTAATTAGCAGGCTATTGCAAACACATGTGACAGGTATTGCCCAACCAAAATAATACCCCCAAGAAAATGAGAAAAGCAATGAAAGAAAAATGTTGTGAGCTAAACAACAGAGTAGTTGATCGCCTAGAGACTTATGTCTGAAAAACATTGTTCGTGGTAAGAGGTGCATGCTAAGGTTTCTGGAGTCCACATGATTAGATTTGGAAAGTGTGTTAGTTATTTTCTCCTCGCTATGACAAAATGCTCAACCAAGACAATTAGTGGAAGGAAGGGCTTCTTAGGGTTAAAGTGCTATGAGATGTCCAGTCCTTCACGGCTGGGAACGGGTGCTGAGGCTGATGAATGAGATTGCTCATTTCCCCTTAATTCCGTCTAGGCACCTTGCTCACATGTATAGTAGGTCTATGGAAATTCCTTCCCGGATGTGCCCAGATGTGTGTTTCCTTGACAGTTTTACAGCCAGTCATGTGAACAATGAAGTTTAACCACCACAGAAAGGAACAGAGAGAAGAGTCATTACGAATGTGATGCAGAATCTGGAAACTGCAAGAGGATAAAGAGGAAAACTTGATGGGTTCAAATGGTGACTGGCGAGAGTATACAAATTCATAGAGAACCATAATTAATTATCTTTTAGAGAATATAGAAAACTCACAATTGCAACATCACTGTGATTGCTACTTTAAAATACAATGAAAATGTAAGTAACCAAATTTATAAGAAACATGCAGAGTCTTAGAAAGAGAACTGTAAGACTCTCCTGTGTTCAACATAAAGAAATAACCGAGAAATGTTTTTTAGCCAGATTGCTGTGAAGTGTCTCCCATTGTGCTCTCCAACTTCCAAGTAATTTCTAACAGTATATTTCAGTATACATTTGTAGAAGCTTCATAAAATATTTCAAATGGTTTTTAGAGAGAGAAAACAGACAGAAAATCAGAAAATAACTAATTGAACTTTTAAAGACTGAAGGACTTCTCAAAGTTGGAATGTTTTATATTGTGATATTAATATTAACATGCAGTCTTGGGGAGAAACCAGAAAGGAAAGGTTACGGTTTAATAGTGATGTATTTGTGTGTAAGTTGATAAGGGGACTGGTGAGTTTGTGACAACTTGACATAAGCTTGAGTCATTTTGGAAGAGGCAACTTCAAATGAGAAAATAACCTTTGTAAGGCCTGTAAGCAAGTTTGTGGGGGCATTTCCTTGATTAATGATTGATGTCAGAGGACCCAGCCCACTGTGAGTGATGCCATCATTGGCCAGGTGGTCTT